CTTACATAATACCTTCATTACATGTGTTGTCAAACTAAAATTCCCAAAGCTGGATCAGCTAGACTCTTGATCCATGGACACATGGAATAGATATGGGGAACATTTTGGCTCCTTTCATATGTCCAGCCTGATCAGCACGGAAATTGTGAACAAATCCTCTACTGAATCAACACCAGAAAAAGAAAGAATGTTACTTTTGTAACATCTGTGTCCATTCTTTTTGTTTTCTGCATTTAAAAACTAGAGCTTTCTGGACCATATTAGAACTATAGGCAACAGGCTTGCATCCTTTAACATCAGACTACCTCAGATCCCTCACGTTTAGGTCCATTTTTTTGGGGACCTTGACAGGCTTGAAGGTGATCAGATGTCATAAGATGTAATCACAAGTAACTTTATGTCTGGCCACCGATTGACTAACATGAAGCTTCTGATCAGGTCTGCCTGAAAAACTGACATGATTGGACGACCCATGTGAAAGGGGTCTTTGTTATCACAAAAGCAAGTCAAACACAGTATCCTTTTCAGATGGTTTTGAGTTGCTTTCACTGTAGTGAAACAGTTTAGTTACCAATAAATGGCATGAACAGATAAGGCCTAAGATGGTACTTTGCTCTAAAACAGCCTTTCTCAAACTTTTTAACATGGAGGAACCCTTAAAATAACGTTTAGGTCACAGAGAACCCCTAATAATAATTACCATACCTATAGCTCATATTAGATTAGTGAAGTGGTTAGCAGGTAGAGTGCTTCTTACACTGGTGGTCAGTGGGTGGAATGCTTCTTACAATTGTGGTCATTAAGAAGAATCGCATCCCTCATACAGAGAGCTTATAAGATCATTGACGTCAGTGGTTAGATATCTGAGGGACAGAAATTGTTCATTGCTAAAGGAACCCGTGCCAGCTTCTGGAGGAACTCTAAGGTACTTCATTAGGGTTCTACATTACAATTCTGATTCTTAGCTTGACCTTTTTAGTTTGACAACCATCTAACACTGTATAAAATTATATTCTCTGAAGACTGCAATTAACAATTGAAATGACCAAAAATAGCTGTCACTATTTTAATCATGAAAAGCAAGTCCCAAGTAGAACAAACTAGAGCCAATTACAGGCCACAAATGGTGGATCAATAAATCAAATGCTGCATTCTGTTGTCTTAGTATAAAGAGCCAAATGCTTACATGGATGGAAACAACATCTATATGGATTGTTCTAATGGGGACTGGCATGTAGAACATAGTATACAAATATACCACCCATAAACATACAGAAGAAATCACACAGCCTTCCCAAAATCCCCAGCATGCAATGTCCTCTTGGATGCCCCACCCGACTCCCCACCAGTTCAAAAACTGCCTGGGGTTCATTTAATAGCATGCATTTAAGTACGACATTGGCTTTCATCTAGTTGATGGTGCAAAGCAGTAGGTAACGTGGGGGGTCAAACAGTGTATGTGTTGTAATTGCAACCAAATTTCAGTGCAGGTTACTAAATGGCATTACAATTTTGGTAGGTTGCTGTGAACAATACAGACACTTTGTTCTCTTAGGATCTTGATTTACTCAAGGCTTATGGGCTAGTGGTCATCCTTACCAATGTTGTCCTTAAATCCATGGAAGTGGGCCCCCCATGGTGTCACACATCCCCACCCCCCAAAATCAATGCTTGCTGAGCTGGAATCTGTGACATGCACAGATCCCATGAACGAGCAGTAAACATAAAAAGTGACTCGCATGTGCTGTGGCCCAGTCCCTGCCCAGGGAGAGAAGGGGTTAATGGAACAGTTGTGTTTCAAACCAAGAAATCTGTACCATTTAAATCATCTTCATACATATTATGGTTGGAATCCATATTAATACAGCTGTACCCATCCAGGTATTTGTCATTTAATGGTAATTTGCAGTTGGAGTGGAGATTTCGTGCAGTGCCAAGAATTCAGCCGATTAATTGGGATTTAATGGTAGATACAGGGATTTTGGCACCTCTTGCCTTGTACTTGTATGTTGTTGGTTTCTTGCCAATGGATAGGCAGATTCATAGCCATACAAAAATGAATTAGATACAGGATATGAGCCATGGGTACAAAGGTATTGCACGGGTATTGGATGGACTGCTTTGGCATTAACCCATTCTCCACCATAGCAGGGTAAGAGTGCATGTTTCTTGCCTTGATTTGTGCGTTATGACTTCATGCAACCAGTGGCAATGTTTTTGGTGGTGGTCTAAGGCCACCCTCCGTGTAATTTATTGTTACAGAGATAGTGGTGGGGCCAACAAGTGAGCCGCTTGCAGAACTATAAGCTTGAAAATGTTTGTCCATTGATGAATATGACAAGAGGATTTATGGAAAAGGAATGAAGAGGAACATATGATGATGAATGTAAGCTATTGCTATCCCGTGTTACAACTATGTGACAACGGCATTTTCTTGTGATGTTACCATGTGACTACCATAAAACAGAGTTTCAATATTATACTACATTAGCTGTAATAATAATAATGAAACCTGTAGCACTGCCATAGTAGTAGAGGTGGAAACCACTATAGGGCCCATGGTCCTTAAAGGGGTTTTTCAAAACCCCAATATAAGGCCCCTTGTCTCTTTTCTCCCATTGCCGCAATCCAAACATCATCATAATATTTTTATCAGTTAGCGTTGACTTTTATACTTTGAAAGTTGCTATATTGTATTAAGTATTTGAGTGCTGGCATATTCTAAAATTTGATGAAGTGGATATTTTTCTCTTTTTGTTTGGTTTACTTCACTATATTGTGATGCTGTTGGCAAGATCGAGCAATAACTGGAATATCTGTAGCGTACCTAGTGGCATTAAAGGATATTCCTTGTCAGTAGATATCAAGGCAATGTCTTTGGAGTTAGGTAGCTTATATCTGGATTGATATGGGTACAAATAGTGTCTGGAGTGTGTGCTGATGATACATAACATATGAGCATGCATGTACACCTGCCTTTCATGTGGCTGAGACATCATCTAATACTCAGATTGCATCTTAACACCCATGTGATGTCTATGGTCAATTGGTCATCTACTGGGCTTTGGATAAGCCCAGAATTGTAGTCATGTTCCTAAAAAGAGCCCATAGGCAAAGGTGCACAGCTGTTATCTGACACCAGCCAGGCTATCAGCCTTCAGAAAAACCAACAGCAGAAGTCATCTGCATAGTGATGTTTGTATCATCATGCTCTGATGAAAAGGTGCCAATGAGTGACCTGGACCTTTTACATGAGTGCATAGCACTTCGGTGTGGTTGCTGCCATTCATCACCAAAAACAGAGTTTGAATTATGCTTAAAGATGAATGTACCACACATCATATTTGTGAGCTTTGTTTATAGGAGTACCATGTTTACAACATACTTCACCTTGCCAGTATGATCTTCTGCCTAACACAGTTGTAATCATCAATATAGGAGCTGCAAGGTTGCATAATTTAGACTGGTTTAGGAGGTTATTATGCATATAAACTTGGCCATCAAGGCATCAGGATGGTTGTGACTTCTTGGCATATCCTTAAAAAAAAAATGTATTTGGAGTTGGGTAGACTATATCTAGACTGATATGGGTACAAATAATGTCTGGGGTGTGTGCTGAGAACACATAACATATGAAGATGCATGTCCACCTGCCTTTTGTGTGGCTGAGGCATCATTTAATACTCAGTTTGATTCTTAACACCCTTGTGATGTCTATGGTCAATTGTTCATCTACGGATTATTCGAAAGAAACCAGTGCAAACAGAAATATGTTAATTGCTATTCATGAGTTCCTTCTTAAAATGCTGCTTGCTAGGCTGTCATCTTGATCCTTCAAGATGAAGTGTCAACCAAATGTCAAGCAAATTTGAAGAGTTTATTTCATCATAAATGTTTAAAAGAGCAAGCCAACATGCTTTAGGAATTATTAAATGTCCCCTTCATCAGGGCTTAAAATTGCTTAAAAGTCTGGTTGGTCTCAGGCTAGAATGGATTACCAATTGTAAAATTTTAAATCTTAGTATTAAGTATTTAATTTATTCAAGGCCAACAAAATACAAAACTTTACAAGCAATTTTAAGCCTTAATGAAGGGTCCCTTAAGAAACTCTAAAACATGTTGGCTTGTCCTTTTGAATTTTTATGATGACATAAATTCTCAGCATTTGTCTGCTGATCCTGATTATTTTTCTTCTTTTTCTTATCGGATTTCACTTGAGGGGCTCCTTAGATGCCTCTTCTTATCTCCGTGAGATGCCAACCTGAGCAATTGTACACTTCAGTAAAGTTTATATCTTGACTGCAAGATCAATCTACAATTGGATTCAGAGCCTCCTACCTCCATCATTCTCATCTTGATTCTCTGACTGTTTGAGTCACACAGGTGCTATGTAGATATATGCAAAATGACAGAACTCATCTACTTAATTATTCTAGGTCAAAGATTCAAAGAGCTTTAAAAGGAGAGGGTCAACCATGACAGCCATCTAACCAGCGTCTTCAGAAGGAGAGGTCAGCAGTGGTAATGTACTATGTTCTCCTAGCCCAGGGTTTTGTTCATCTAAATGGTATATAAGAATTTGAATGTTGATAATTTTAATGTCCAAAAGGAGAGTGGAGAAAAGGAACAATTATGGAGTACATGGGATGAGGAAAGAAAGCAACGATGGAAGATTGAGAATAGTCTGGGAAAGAGATGTAACAATGGAGAAAACATTACACAGGGTCATAATATAACAAGAGAAAAAAAAGTTGGGTCATATATTGATCATGGGGTGACATGATCAGCTGGAGGCAACAGGACACATTTTCAATTCTTCCTATAATGACATTTACAACAGAAATAAAAACCAGCAAGCATTTTCTTATAGTAAAAACGAGAGAAATGAATCAGTGACGTCCGAGCTGAGGGTGAGTGGGGCAGAGATATCCACAAAGGGTGGGGGGTTTGGGGGTTATTAAAGTCTCTCTTTACTTTTTTTAGTCCCAGCTCGTTAGACCTCACTCCATGATGGGAGACGGGTCCTCGAATGACACCCGACTGCTGTCTCGGAAGTCTGGGTGTCTGAGGTCTCCAAGAAATTTGATGGGTGTTAATATGTGAGTGGAACCTGTGAGAGAAGAAAGGGGGGCTGACAAAGGCCTAAGACGGACAGGTAGGAGCAGTATAGGGATAAAGAGAGGGTATTGTTAAAGGACTAATGCAAAGAATAGGCATGCGGAAGAGAGGCATGGTATAGAAACATAAAATAAAAAACACAAGGAAGCTGCAAATAAATCAATAATGCGTGGTAGTACAGATAAGAAAGGTATTAAACATAACCAAGGCTGAAAATAAAAATAACGATATAGGCCTTACTCATAGACCAATATGAGGCAATATAAAGTAAAACAGGGTGAGGGTTGAAAAGCAGAAGGATAAGAACGACAAGGTAGAAATGTCTTAGGAAACTATAAGGAGGCAGAGCCACCGGAGATGCTTTGGTAATTCTAAGTTATTAGGAAAAGCAAAGCCAAGATTGAGCAAGTAGGAGGATGTTTACAGGGGAAGGAGGGAGTCAATGGGAAGCTAAGACAGAAGGAGAAAGTACAAGGGAGTTTGAGATAGAAGATGGAAGCACAGAAGAGGCTCAGACAGAATGAAAAAGCACAAGGGAGTTTGAGACAAGTAAGAAGCAAAGAGGAGGCTGACTTAGAATATGGGTGGCTGGGGCAAAAGAAGGGGGTGCAGGAGAGGCTAAGGCAGTAAGCACTGGGGACGCTGAGTTGAAAGATGAAACACAGGGAAGCTAAGATAGAAGGAGGATACATGGGAGAAGCTGAGACAGAAGAAGGAAACACCCCTCTACGGCACCCACCACCTCCTCCTATTACTCCACTCTCCCACTGACCCAAACCTCCACTATTAGTTTCTCACGCTCCTGCACATCCCGCTCCCATGCCACCTTTCTCACCCTTCTCCTCCTAACCGCGGGGGACATCTCCCCGAATCCTGGCCCCCTCCACCACCTCCCTCACCCACACAACACCCTCCCGCCTCCACGTCCTCCAGCAACTTAGTATCTGTCCCCCTGCTCCCTAAAATCTCCCCCCCCGTTTTCATGTGCACTCCTGAACGCCCGATCGGTGTGCAACAAGCTTACCGCCATCCACGACCTCTTTGTTTCCCGCTCCCTCAACCTCCTAGCGATTACGGAAACCTAGATCCAGGCCACTGACTTTACCTCCCCTGCTGCACTCTCCTACGGAGGTCTCACCTGGACGCACTCACCCAGGCCCAACGGTCGTAAAGGGTTGGTCTGCTCCTGTCACCGCAGAGAACCTTCCTAGTCCTCCCAAACCCCCCCTCTCTATCCTTCTCCTCCTTTGAGGCCCACTGCATCCGACTATTTTCCCCAACCCCCCTGAAGATTGCTGTGATATACCGGCCTCCTGGATCCATATCCCACTTCCTGGATGACTTTTCCTCCTGGCTACTCTTCTTCCTCTCCTCTGAGCTACCCACCATCATCCTTGGGGATTTCAACATCCCTGTCAACCTCGACAACCCGGCCACATCCCATCTCCTCCACTTAACCTCCTCCTTTGCACTTGCACAGTGCATACAATCCACCACCCACTCCGACGGTAATATCCTTGATCTTGTCTTCTCCAACCGCTGCGCTCCCCACAACCTCACTAACACCCCCTTCCCTCTCTCTGACCACAACCTGATTACCTTCTCTATCTCCTCGTCCTCCAACGCCTACCCCTCCAAATGTCACACTACTACCAGCCGTAACCTCTGCAACCTTAACCCTGCCCCCCTCCACTCTGGAGCTGATCAACTCCACGACAGCATCCTCCCTCTGTCCTGCCCCGACTTGGCTATGACTGCCTACAACAACACGCTGTCAACAGCCCTTGACTCACTAGCGCCTTTAACCACACGCAACATCAGACCCCGACCGCTCCAGCCCTGGCAGACCGATCACATCAAAACCCTCAAACGACACAGTTGTGCCCAGGAACGACTATGGCGCAAAACCAAATCCCAACAAGCCTTCACCCGCTACAAATCTACCTTCCACACCTACACCTCCTCCCTCCACGCAGCCAAACAAGCCTACTTCCTGACCCTCATCAAGGCCCTCTCCTCCAATCCTCGCCGACTCTTCTCCACCTTCAACTCTCTACTCTCGCCACCCCCCCCCACCTCCACCCAATAACTCACTCACCGCCCTTGAGATTGCCAATCACTTAAAAAACAAGATTGACACAATTCGCAAGGACATCGCCGCAACTCACACGCCCTCTCAACCCGTCCCCTCTCACACAGCTACCCCCCACCCCCCCCCTCCCTCGACATAACCCGCAGGGACTTCGTCGATGCTCAAACTCCCTCCAACCCCGTTCCCCCTCACTCAGCTACCCCCTCATCACCCCCTCTCCCACAGCCCCACCACTGCTCTGACCTCCACTTCCACCCCACCCTACATTCCTCATACTGAAGCCCCCCCAACACTCCGCACCTTTGACCTTACTACCATCGAGGAAGTCTCCAAGATCCTCTCTGATGCCCACCTCACCACCTGCCCCCTCGACCCTATCCCCTCACAACTCCTACGACCTCCCTTCCCCTCTATCCTACGCTCCCTCACCCACATCTTTAATCTCTCCCACTCCTCCGGCACTTTCCCCTCCCCTCTGAAACATGCACACATCACCCCCATACTTAAAAAGCCCTCCCTGGACCCCAATGACCCGAACAACTTTAGACCCATCTCCCTGCTCCCATTTACATCCAAACTCCTCGACCGCCTAGTCTACACCCGCCTAAGCTCTCACGTCAATGACAACAACCTCCTCAATCCCCTACAGTCCAGCTTCCGTCCCCTACACTCCACCAAAACTGCCTTACTTAAGCTCTCCAACGTCCTGCTAACCGCCAAAGCTAATGGCCACTATTCAGTGCTCCTACACCTTGACCTCTCTGCGGCCTTCGACACAGTCGACCACCCCCTCCTCCTCAAAAAAACTACACTCCCTTGGCCTCAGAGATTCTGCTCTCTCCTGGCTCTCATCCTGCCTGTCACAACGCTCTTTCAGCGTTACCTATAATGCTACCACCTCCCCCTCACTCCCCCTCTCTGTTGGGGTCCCTCAAGGCTCCGTCCTCAGGCCCCTTCTCTTCTCCATCTACACCTCCTCCCTTGGCCAACTCATACACTCTCACGGCTTCAACTACCACCTATATGCCGACGACACACAAATCTATCTCTCAACCCCCCACCTCACCACCTCAGTCTCCGCCCGAATCACACACCTACTGAGCGACATATCAGACTAGATGTCGCTCCACTTCCTTAAACTGAACCTCTCCAAAACCAAGTTTCTTGTCTTCCCCCCAGCCCGGACACCACCAATGGGGGGGTGACTTCTCCATCACCTCCAACAACGCCACCATCAAACCCGCCCTGCAGGCCAGAGTACTTGGTGTCATTCTGGACTCCAACCTATCCTTCCAGCCCCAAGTACAATCTTTAACAAGCTCGTGCAGACTCCACCTCCGCAACATCACCAAAATACGCACGTTCCTAACCCCAGAAATCACTAAACAGTTCATCCACTCCCTCATCATATCACGACTCGATTACTGCAACTCCCTCCTTACTGGCCTGCCTCGCCGCTGGCTATCCCCACTTCAGTTGATCCTGAATACGGCTGCCAGACTCATTCACCTTTCCAACCGCTCCATTTCCGCCACCCCCCTCTGCCAATCCCTCCACTGGCTTCCGATTGCGCAATGGATCAAATTCAAAATCCTAACACTGATGTACAAAGCCGTCCACCATACTGCCCCGAACTACATCACTGACCTAATATCCAAGTACCACCCAGCACGCACACTCCGCTCCTCACAAGACCTCCTTCTCTCTAGTTCCCTGGTCTCTTCCTCCCATGCCCGCCTCCAGGACTTCTCCAGGGTGTCACCCATCCTCTGGAACTCCCTGCCCCAACCTATCAGATTATCACCTACTCTCCTCTCCTTTAGGCACACCCTGAAAACCCACCTCTTCAGGGAAGCCTACCCCACCCCCTGCTAATTTGCCAACCTCCTCCACTCTTCCTACCACTCCATCCCCCACAGCTTTCTCCTCCTGTGCCACCATCCCCTCCCTCCTAGATTGTAAGCTCGAAAGAGCAGGGCCCTCGATCCCCTCATGTTTTGCATTGTATTGGTATTGTTCTGTCACATGTTCTGTCCCCCTTTGTAATGTACAGCACTGAGCGAACTATTGGCACTTTATAAATACTGTATAATAATAATAATAACAGAGGAAGCTAAAATAGAAGGACAGTGGAAGCTGAGATAGAAAAAGTAAGGACAGGGAAGCTGAGATAGAAGAAGGAAGGACAGGGGAAGCTGTCAAGCTGAGATAAAAGATGGAAGGACAGTGGAAGCTGAGATAGAAGAAGGAAGAGCAGGGAAAGTTCATATATAAGAAGGAAGGACAGTGGAAGCTGAGATACAAGAAGGAAGGACATTGGAAGCTAAGATAGAAAAAGAAAAGAAAGGGGAAGCTGACATAGAAGAAAGAAGGACAGGGGAAGCTGAGGTAAAAAAGGAAGGACAGTGAAAGAGGATAGAAAAAAGGAAGGGGACAGTGAAAGCAGGGATAGAAGAAGGAAGGGATAGCTGGGAAAGAAAACACAGGGGAAGCTGAGATAGAATAAGGGGTGGAAACATAGAAGGGGAACAGGGGCTGAGATAGAAGACGTAAGGGCAGTGGAAGCTGAGATAGAAGAAGGAAAGACAGGGGAAGGTGGGGTAGAAGGAAGGACAGTGGAAGCTGGGATAGAAAAAGAAAGAACAGGGGAAGGTGGAATAGGAGAAGGAAGGAAAAAGAAGGTTGAGACAATAGAAAAGCACAGGTAAGTCTCGAACAGATGAAAAGCACAGGGGAGGATGATGCAGAAAGAGGAAGAACATGAAAGACTGGTGCAAAAGGACAAATCACAGGGGAGGCTGAGACAGAAATAGGAATCACAATTTCACAAAGGAGCCTGAGACAGACAGAAGGAAGATGCACAGAGGTGGCTGAGACAAAAAGAGGTGACAGATAGATCAAGCACAGGGAAGGCTGGGACAAAAGAAGGAAGGAGCAAGCACAGGGGAGACTGAGGTTAAAAGACAAAGTAAAGACAGAAGGAGAAAGCACTGTTATGACAGAAGGAGGATACTTAGGAGGCAGAACTAGAAAGAAGCAAATAGTAGGCTGAGAGATGAGAGTGAAACACAGGAAGGCTGAGAGAGAAGAAGGGAGCACAGGGTGGTTGAAAGAGAAGAAGGGAGCACAGGGAAGCTGGGAGAGAGAAGAAGGGAGCACAGGGAAGCTGAGAGAGAAGAAGGGAGCACAGGGAGGCTGAGAGAGAAGAAGGGAGCACAGGGAAGCCGAGAGAGAAGAAGGGAGGACAGGGAAGCTGAGAGAGAAGTAGGAGTACAGGGAAGCTGAGAGAGAAGAAGGGAGCACACGGAGGCTGAGAGAGAAGAAGGGAGCACAGGGAAGCTGAGAGAGAAGAGGGAGCACAGGGAAGCTGAGAGAGAAGAAGGGAGCACAGGGAGGCTGAGAAAGAAGAAGGGAGCACAGGGAAGCTGAGAGAGAAGAAAGGAGCACAGGGAGGCTGAGAGAGAAGAAGGGAGCACAGGGAAGCGGAGAGAGAAGAAGGGAGCACAGGGTGGTTCAGAGAGAAGAAGGGAGCACAGGGAAGCTGGGAGAGAAGAAGGGAGCACAGGGAAGCTGAGAGAGAAGAAGGGAGCACACGGAGGCTGAGAGAGAAGAAGGGAGCACAGGGAAGCTGAGAGAGAAGAAGGGAGCACAGGGAAGCTGAGAGAGAAGAAGGGAGCACATGGAAGCTGAGAGAGAAGGGAGCACAGGGAAGCTGAGAGAGAAGGGAGCACAGGGAAGCTGAGAGAGAAGAAGGGAGCACAGGGAGGTTGAGAGAGAAGAAGGGAGCACACGGAGGCTGAGAGAGAAGAAGGGAGCACAGGGAAGCTGAGAGAAAAGAAGGGAGCACAGGGAGGCTGAGAGAGAAGGGAGCACAGGGAAGCTGAGAGAGAAGAAGGGAGCACAGGGAGGCTGAGAGAGAAGAGGGGAGCACAGGGTTGGCTGAGACAGAAAAGGAAGCACTGGGGTGGCTGAATACATTACACAATGGAGGCTAGGTTCACGGGAGGTTGACAGAGAAGAAGGAAGCACAGGAAGGATGAGACAGAGAAAGTATGTATCGTGCCAGAGAATGGAAGCTTAGCAGAAGTTGAAGAAGGAGGAAAGAATCTCATACATCCACATAAATGTGCCATAAAACTCTAAATATGACTATAATAAATCAGTAAAGCCAATTCATGGCTTAATTGCCATTATGGAATAGGAAAAAAATTATACTGCTAATACTGTCAAGAACACCCTCAAAGTGAAAATATTTTATTTTTAAATACATGACACTGTGTTTAAAAAAATGGGCTATACACAAAAAACACTACAGATTCCCTTTAAGGTGAGCCATTCTTGACAGAAATGCTTGCACTGCCAATGTTGGCTTTCTTTAAAAGTTTTTAGTCCTTCGGCTCTTATAGTGATCCTTCAGTTTCATTACTAGTTGAAACCTAGGCCTAAGAACATGAATACAGCCAGGTCTCCCAACCTGCTTACTCCAGTTCCAGTTCACAAACGCTCTAAAGTTGGCAGTACGCTGACAGATTTTCATATGAAGGTTGGTGATACCCTCAGTTCATTTAATAATGCCATCAGAGACTTCAATGTTGTTAAAAAAAAAGTCAAAATTGTGTTTACCTTTAACAACCAATTTTGGAATAAATGGAATTTTCACTTTCACATTCACTTTTGGAGCTTGTTTACACTAGCAATTGGGGGACAGTAAATCACGTGGTTGAGCTACATGTTTACCACCTGTTAACTGTTCTCCCTTTAGCTGGCAAGGCAGCGGCCAGGAGGTGCACACATGTCATGGCTGCAATGCTTTGCTTTGTGGCCAGGGCAGGAAAGATTCCCCGTCACATTCGACAGGAACTACCACCTGCCAAACACGACCCATTCAAGTGAATAGGGTCACGCTGCAATGACAGAGAAGGTGTTTATAAAAGGTCACCACACAAAAGTGTAGCATAAGATTTCAAACACAGTGTGGTTTCTTTGTAATCATGATGCAAAAAATTAAATAAAAAATCAAATCTTAGCACATTTTTGTGAATGGCATCCTGGAGGCTCTAAGAAATTAGGAATGGCAGAAGGAGAATATACAGCTGAATAAAGGTCATAATGAGAAAAAAGGAAACAGAGGAGCAACAACATAACAGATAGAGATGGCTCACTGCATGACACACATGTATGGGAAATTAATCAGATGGGGTATAGATTAGCAGTGAAAAAAAGGGGAAGCATAGTAAAGACAGACAGACTGACAAGAGACAGCGAAAGACAAAACTCTTAACAAGAAAGACAGAGAGAGACATTAGACGTACACTTCTCTAGAGGTGAGAAAACGGCTCAAAACTCTGATTTTCTACAAATACAATTATTTATCATTACATAAGATCATACTTCTATAGCCAATGTCAAAGTTCCATCAATGTGAAAATACCTTGTGGGTAATTGGCTGCCACAGCCAATGAACATTTGACAAATTGGTAACTTTCTATTAATAAATAGTTTTTTTTTTAAACAATTTTGTAACAATTTTTGTCACAGTTTTTTCACCACAGGAAAAATGTCCGCTTTAAAGAGCAACATTAGTGATAACAGACAGACGTTTTAAGATTATAATCACCATAAACAGACGCAAATTTATTTTACAAGGCAGCGCCTATAACAACAGTGCGGTTTAAACTGCCATCACCCACAGCAACCGGACAGATTGTAGTTTACAGTCATGTTGGCATTTGGGAACCACAATGGTTGCAGCGAGTTACAGCACTCTACTGTCTGCCTTGTTAAATAAAACACACAGACTTCAATGAGACAGGCATAAAGACCATTCCAGGATGAACCACACAAACACACATTAGCATGTACTAACACAAAACAGACACCCATTCTACAGGTACAGACATACATATCTATAGGGCTGCAAAAGAAAGAGTCGGCATTACCTACAGGAGCCATGGTCATCCTTCCACCAGAAGGTAGAAAAATGACATGTGGAAGTGGATTTGCTGTGGTGGGTTCCTCATACATACTATATAGTGCAGAACTATTCACAATTGAACCTAGGGCTCAGTACAGAATAGAAGCAAATGATGGCTGGCGGGTAGATTGATAAATTAATTTTTAACTAATTCAGTTAGTACTTCTATAGCAGTTTTCTCCCCAGAGACCCAAACACTTGACGGTGAGGCAGCCACCTTGGATGCACTCAGTTGTGCCAACAAACCAACAAGCATGGCTTTGGCATGTGGAAGGAAACCAGAGTACCCAAAGAAAATGTATGGAAGCATAGGGAAAACATGAAAGATCCATGCAGATAGAGTCCTGGTCAGAATTTGAACCGAGGACTCTAGTGCTGCAAGGCAGAAGTGCTAATCACTAAGGAAAAATGCTGCCCATCTTCTTCAGTGATGGGGCCTTCTTCAATGCTGTAAATGCTTAGGCAATACAGCACAAAAAGCATGTAGCTCTTCTATAGTTGTTTATGGTCTCTATGGACTTTAATGCCCTTATTTTCCTACTTTCATATTGCTGTGAAGGTGTACTTAGTACCCACCAATAGTCAGTCCATGTCTGACTAGTACCCTTGTGGTCTAATGTAACCAGCTGTTCCCCAGCAATAAGCTTTTTACTATATTTTAACTTTCTTTATAGAAAACCAGTTGTGACACCCAATAAATGGAGATGGTGACTACTAGTGGTCACGTCATCAGCACAAAGTCACAAGGACGTAAATGAAACTAACATGTTGGGTTGACCTTAAGCACACACATATGAAAATAGGGGGAACTTGGCAGGCATTTCAATGCCTGCCGAACATTCCCCAATAACTGGGTAGGAAAGGTTATACTATGCCAAACAGCTCAGTATACGTTATGGGCATCTCATAGCTTGTCTTGCTGGACTCTCTTATGGTATGATGATCACAGTGTCACCATTGTTTGCATCTAGCTCTGCGGAGATGTAGCCTAAAGGAAACTGGACTGCATTACCTATACAAGCTTAATAGACTGGACAAAAGACAACATAATCACAAAAAAACTGAGCCTGGGAAAGTAAATAATGTCCCCGGACTGAACCCAAAATGTCTCTGCTCCAACTGTTAACCATAGTGCCACCACACTGCATGCCAGGAGCATCCTCTCCCGGAAAGCAGATGATGTCCTATGTCCTATAGGAGGCCAACAATAAGTTAAGCATATAAAAAAACATGTAAATCCACAAACAATATCTCTCATAAACAAATGGATGAAAGCACATAAATAGGGACATTCTGAAATAAAGGAGACACATCTAAGCACAAAATATGGGCAATCATAAACACACATAAAACGTACTCAGAGAATAGACAAATATACATAATGGAAGACAGACATGTAAGTTAAGATGAACACACATACGCAGCTACATACGCACAGATTAAAGTATTTTTTGTCCACATCCCAAAAGCAGATCCCAGTAAACAGCCCTGTGCATGTTGGGTGATCTATGCTTACGTCACTCACCTATAAGGACTTCCCATTTGCCATTGGCCTGAGATACCTCATATGCACAGCGCATCTCACTGAAAGCCACTCCGCCAAGGATGAAGATGATCAGACGTGGACCAGCCCGGTACTCTCCTGGAGCCTTGTTCTTGTGCCAGTGTCCATAGCGGGCACTGAGGATAGAATGTTCAACAAGTCAACAGTTTATGATGTTCAACTATTCTATTAATAAGAAGAGTATATTTTTAACATTGACTGGTATATAACAGTAAGAGCCTTCCTGGTGGAACCATTGCCTTCTCTCTATTTTATTTTGCCTTCCCCTGGATCAAATGAGGGTATAGTATTGTTTATATGTAGGTTTTCTATTTTTACAATTTTTTTATTTGTATCTATTGGTTGGATTAGATGGACTTTTTAAATGTTTTTTTGTCAACCTGAATAACTCTGTAACTAAATAATGAAACCTCATTTTAGTGGATAGGTCAGATAGGTCAGCCTCATTCAATTTTTTTATCCCAGAGGAACCCTTGACAACACCAATTCAGGGTCAATCAACCACTGAACAGGGAACCCCTAGCAATCTCTGCAGGAACCATAGGGTCCTACAGAACTTTGGTTAAGAATGACTGATCTAGGTAATGGTGCAAGGACTATCCTCTTTTGCTATAAACCAAGAATATGGGTGGGCCTAGAGTTTGCCTAGGGAGCATCCCAATTCAATATACTAATTAGCAAAGCACGGCAAGTATAATTTTTTACATGTTCATAGCCGCTGACTAAAATTGACACTAAATACTGAAAGATACAAATTTTCTGGAAGATTTTGGGATTCATTTTTCCTGATATCTCTGTGAAGGATATGGTCTCACCATAATACAATCTACTGTAGTTCATTCAACCCAAAATGTTTATCACTAGAAAAGTGGTAATTTCATCCTTTGGAAAACAAATTAAGTTGCATGCTGATGTCATATAAATTACACACCAGGGGCTCATATTTATCATTTTCAGCCCGGAACCTGTCCACTTTCATCCATATTCCAAAGCTACAAACATAACTGAAGGTCAATTTAGTGCTAGTGTGTCACAGGGTAGAATTATAAAATATCCTGTGCACTGATGCCTTTTTTTTTTTTAGTGTCTGACAGGGAACATCATGATCAGTAGGGTGTTCTTGAAGATTGAACAAAGAAGGCAAGCTACTCTGCCCAAGTTGCCCAAACGCTAACATGCAGAAAAAATTTAAAAACTGGAATTTGGCAGCTCCTTGATGGTAGGGTCGTCTTTTTGCATGGGCACTCCTAGGCACTGCCCAGGGGCCCCTGCATTTCTTCCTCCCCGGGAAGGGGAATCGCATATGGATGGGGGGAGTGATCGTGTGTGTGGGTGGGGAAATAACTGGAAACTGTTCTTCTCTGTGGATCTCACTGCAGCACCTGAAGCTGGGCGAGACACAAAATATTGGTTCTAGTAATTTTCCCCACCCACTGCACTGATCACCCCCTCCTGCCCACATGCAATTTCCCTGCTATCTGGGCCCCCTGTGTTCCCCAGTGCTGGCTCTCTTCCTCTTCTCTCCCACTGGCTGCTGGGGATCTTTAGGATAGAGAGTGGGGGAAGGGGCGGGTAAATATCTAATTTGCCAGCCCCTTCCTTTTCTAAATGAACACAGTGAGTGATTGGTACTGATCACTCACTGTATTCATTCACAACTGAAGCATAGTAAACTGTGTTTAGTATGGTTCATTCATCTGCAGTGCAGCTTAGACTGCAGAAAGGAAATGGGGAATGCGTTTCTTTAATCCCTTTCTCTGTCTTAAATGTGAGACTTCAGGGATCTGTTTAGAACCCTGATATCGCACCAAAGACCGCCCTCCCCCCATCTTAACAATGTTGTGAGTAAAAAAAATTTGGAAAATTATTTGAAAAAACTGACAAAAAAACCTCAGCTAAAATTTCTAATAAGACTAAAAAGCCACTGGCAATAGGTAGCATAATTTAGTCAAAGTCGCCATCTCTCTGGTAGGAGATGCAGTGTATTACTTTGTCTAGGGGCCAATGATGCTATTAAGATGGCACCAATTGATTGGCCATGCAAGCGCAGTGCACACTTCTTGCCAATCATGGGCAGTCACAGCAAGCTGGCAGAGAATGGGTGCACGGCTGTACACCCATTTTATACCATGCATTAGCAGAGAGGAAGTGGGGTGCAGTTCCGCATTCTTGCCCTGGGCTCTGGACGATCCTGTCCCAGGACTGCTATCAGCTAGCTACCATATGTTGTAATTATCTTTATGTTTTTAGAATGCTTGCACTCATTCATTACCCTACCTACTTAAGCTAAATTTTTTACATACAGGGTAATTGGCAAACCAACCTCACAGCCGTTGTACTAAAAGAGGCAGAGGAACGTGTGGGAGATGTATGGGTAGTGTTTTGTGTCCAGTTTGTCGTCAATAGTATCCTGGATGAAAGAGAATTAAGAAAATTAGAGATCCACAGTAATAAAAGGGCAGATCATGGACAGAACTAGGACAATGATCAAATAAAGACCTATTGAAGATAAATAAAAACAGAATATCATACATTTGAGCTGGTCACTTGTGTTCTCCTACTTCTAGAATACTTAACTGGCAGTATGAATATTATTTGTCATGACAACTCTTCTTCATTCTCAATACCCCTCCATACATCCATACATTCAATACCACCAAGCATGTCCTTCCAATCTGAACATGACCGCCTCTCTTTAAAGAAGAACTCCGGGCAAGTTTTTTTTTATTTTCTCATGCAGTTGGACTGTGCCCACACAGCATGAGTTGGTTACCTGCTCGTTTTTGTCTAGAGGTGAGGACAGCGGAGATGTAATTACCTAGTCTGTCGATCCTCTAAGCACAAGACCGGTACCTGCTGCTCCTCCTGCAGGCTAGCAGTTTTGTAAATGGACTGTTCCTGATGCCATCACACCCACAGACTGGCACTGAACATGAGGATGGCAGGAACAGTCCAAAGCTGAAAAGTGGGGTGTGCTGGTTTTTGGAGGATTGAAGGATTGGGTAAGTATAGCTTTTCCTTCCGCCCTTAGACAAAATGAGCAGGTAATCCATGCAGTGCGGACACAGCCCCACTGCATGGGAAAATAAAAATTTTGCCCTGAGTTCTGCTCTAAGGACCCAATCACACCATTACGTTGCAAGTCACGTTTTATAGATGAATGAATAAAACTGAAAAATATGATTACGTTTTATTTTAATGTATTTTGTAATATGACTTAGAAAAAAAAAGGAGAAGGAACTTTAGTAAAACATTAGGATTCTCATTGGAGTCCCCTTTACATCAGGGTTTCCACCAGGGTCCCTCTTACATCAGGATCTCCATCAGGGTCCCTCTTATATCAGGGTCTCCATCAGGGTCCCTCTTACATCAGGGTCTCTATGAAAGTTCCCCTTTACACTGTAGTGTTTCTGCAAAAAGCACCAAAAAATACATAGGTGTGAACCAGGTCTAAAATGTTTTTGTTCATTAAATATCTATTTGATAAGTTCAAAAAATATCTGTTTATTTTGCCAGAAATCTTGTGAGCTGATAACTTTCTATGCACAAGGAGGGATTACGGAAGGTCCCTCTCAAAGTAATCCCTTTTATCAGGTTTTCCATTACACTCCTCCATTATATCAGGGTCCCAAACAGAGTCCCCCATTACATAAAGGTCTCCATTAGACTCTTCTTTTACACCAGTGTCCTTATCAAAGTCTACCCTTACACCAGTGTCTCCATCAAAATCCTCCTTATATCAGGGTCTCCCTCAGAGTTCCCCTTTACACCAGTATCTTCATCAGAGTCTCTCTTACATCAAGGTCTCCATCAGAATCCCCCCTTACATCAGGGTCCCATCCGACCCCCCCCCCCCCCCCCACACCAGTGTCTCTATCAGAGTCCCACTTACATCAGGGTCTACATCGGAGTCTTCCCTCACACCATGGTCTCCATCAAAGTCCCCCTTACATCAGCTCTAGTCTCCCCTATACATCAGGGTCTCCTTTAGAGTCTTACCTTACACCAGTGTTTCCATCAGAGTCCTCCTTACATCAGGGTTCCCATTATAGTTCCCCTTACACCAGGTTCCCCATTACACTCCCCCCTTACATCAGGTTCCCCATCAGAGGCCCCCCTTACATCAATGTCTCCATCAGAGACCCCCATACATCAGGGTTCCCATTAGAGTTTCCCCTTATATCAGGTTCCCTATTACACTCCCCCCTTACATCAAGGTCTCCATTAGAGTCCCACTTTATATCAGAGTCCCCTCTTACATTAGTATCCCCATCAAACATGCCCTAGAAACTGCAGGGAAGGGAGGTGGGCATGTGGAGGGAAAGAAAGACCAACTGATCTGTGAACTGAGTCTGAGGATCTGTCACTGACCCTAGCTGCGAGCCAGATAAAATCTCACAGCGAGCCGGATGTGGCCCTCATGTCGTAGTTTGGAGACTCCTGGTATATAGTATACTTGTTCCTTGACCTCTTTTTCTTCCTCCTTATTTTACTAAATTGTAAGCTTGTACAGGTCAAGCTCTCAGGCATGATGGCACTACTGTGCCCCTTTTATACCTGATTTATACCCAAAGAGACACAAATGTGTGCCATTTATGGTAGTATAATCCAGCAAAGGTTTCTACTCACCTCCATTATATCTTTGACAACCGGAGTCCATCGAGACAACTGATAGGTCTGTTCGCTGATTCTCTCTTTGCGGTCTGGTTTGCTCCTGCGACGAAGTGTGGACTAAAGATTAAGCAAATTATTATCTTGTGAAAAGAAAAAGTGACAGCTTTAGGGAAAAAACAAAACATTTCCAATATGTTGGCCTGATTGTAATCTGTTATAAAATGTCCTGAAAATTTAAATTCTGCCCAGGTTATGTATTTATCAATGCAGCAACCCATATTCTGATTGGTTATTACACTTTTTTCTTTTTATTTGCTTACTGTAAAAACTCAACAGATTTCCTGAGTTTATGTCATTGAGTGGCACCAATCAGTATACTGTATTACTGTATATACTATAAAAGGCCATCCCTAAATATTTTTATATATATATATATATATATATATATATATATATACACACACCGGCCACATTTGTAGGTAAACCTGTTCAATTGCTATGTAACACTATTTGTCAATCACATGGCAGCAACTCAATGCATTTAGACATATAGACATGGTGAAGACGACTTGCTGAAGATCAAACCGAGCATCAGAATGGGAAAGAAAGGAGATTTAAGTGACTTTCAATGTGACATGGTTGTTGGAGCCAGACGGGTTGGTCTGAGTTTTACAAAAACTGCTGATCTACTGGGATTTTCATGCACAACCATCTCTAGGGTTTACAGAGAATGGACTGAAAAAGAGAAAATATCCAGTGAGAGGCAGTTGTGTGGACAAAAATGCCTGGTTGATGTCAGAGGTCAGAGTCGAATGGACAGACTGGTTTCTGTGACATTCAGATGGTGGGGTTACAATTTGGTGTAAACAACATGAAAGCATGGATCCATCCTGCCTTGTATCAATGGTTTAGGGTGGTGGTGGTGTCATGGGATATTGTCTTGACACTAGAAGGTGTACGTAACAAAGTGGACGGTGAGTGTATATATACACACACATACATACTGACCTTACCATTTAGAAATATACCTACATCAGTAATGATGGGAACTCCTAAATGGCCCATATTGGTGATGATCTCACTGTCTTCTGGTGGGATCTGTGCATGCTGAATCAGCTTATTCAAATTCTCTTCAGTGATCCCTGATTAGGAAAAAAAATGGGACACATTTAAGTGAACTATACAAGAGGCAATGGAGGATACAAAAGAAGCAAGATCTGTGGTCAGAATTTGCCATATACATTATCTGGCACCTTTATGACAAGGCATTAAATGCACCATAGACTTTAATTGATGGTGCATCCTTAATGTTTTATAACAACATCTAAGATCTAGTATGTATGGATTCTTTGTACAAAGTACTCTCCATCATATAGTGAACTGAACTTATAGACCAGTATGTTGAAATCTGGATCTTTGCTGGTTTCTTGCCCATTGTCACCTGAAATAGATGGTATTACCATAAAGCAGCCTTTCTCAACATTTTTAACATGCAGGAACCCTTGAAAAAACATTCTGGTCTCAAAGAACTCCTTCTGATGATTACTGTATCTATAGATTACTGATTATTGGAGTGATGGTAAGTGGGATGAATGCCCCTTACAATAGTTCTTTAGTGTCAGTGGTAGCTGATTTAAGAGGCAGACATTGCTCATTGCTGAAGGAATTCCTACCAACCTCTGGAGAAACACTGGGGTTCCATGGAACCCTTGTAGAGAAAGGCAGCCCTAAACACCTGCTGGCTGATACTATGCATTAGGTCATAAGTGTCTGCCTTGCAGTGCTTGGGACGTCAGTTTGAATCTCAGTCAGGGCGCTGTCTGCATGGAGTTTGCATGTTCTGTGCCTGTATGGTTTTCTTTTCGGTACTCCGGTTTCCTCCCGCATTCCAAAGACATGCTGGTAGGTTATCTAATGTGTAAAAAGTGGCCCTAGTATGTGTATGCATTAATAAAAGAACCTTAGATTGCAAGCTCCTTGAGGGCAGAGATTTAAAGATTCAGTATGTAAAGCACTGCATAAAATGTTAGCGCCATATAAATACCTATCATAAATAAATAAGGACACCTGGTGTGTATGCAGGATGCCTGTGTGCTTTACATGGCCATTTTGCCTATGTAAGGTGGAAAAAGAAGTGAAATGAGTAGCTCCTAAGTTGTCAAGCCTTTGGAACAATGACCATTCATGAAGGACAATAGTTGGTAGCTGAGAGAGGAGTACAGTCTGGCATTTAGGACACAGGTGTTCACAACCAGGAATGTCCCAGTGAACTGACCACGGGTTGTGCCAATTTTTAGTGGGCTGGAATACCCTATAAATGACCTTAAGGGGAAACCAGAATGTTCATATTGTTGGGGTTGAGATCTAGAAGTTATCTTTTTTGCCTACTAAAACGGTTCTCCATGAGCAGTTGCACTCTCCTGTATGCCTTTGTATGCATGCCATGAGTTTGAAGGCTCCTGTTTCATTTGGGATATAGGAAAGCTATGGAAATTGCAATATGTATGGTAGATAAGGAGATAGTGAATAATAAGCATTTATAAACAGACGCTTAGTCCTTCACTTACCATTCTTAAGGAAGATGTAAAGGAGAATGATACGAATTTTATCATATGTGCTGACATTTCCATCCAGGAGAATGGGGACAATTGCCCGCATAGGATCTTTGATCTTCTCCCCCTCTGCATCTGTACCCATAGCGAGATCCTGAGAAATGATCATAAATTAATATGGGGACTGTCTTCCTTCTCGTAACAATGCAATCAGTAGAGTAACAGCGTGCTAATACCATGAAATAAGATAGCTATGGCTTTGACCATGGGAGTCAATCTCCTAAGGCAGGACTACCATAGAGTACAGGGGGTGTCCATGAGGTCAGGTCAAGGGGCACAGATATGACTGCTTTACTCTTATTATCCAGCAATGTGTTCACTTCACACTGCATTAAAACGTATCTAAGCCAAAGAATTCAAATTTAATTGATTTCAGTGTACAAGTCCTTACATGCAGTAGCTGCATTAGTTTTTTTTTTTTCAGGCTTTTTACACACTTCTTGTCCTAGGGTAACAGCAGTCACTCACTGAACTGTATCTATGGAGGAGCAGCATTGTCATCCTAGGGCAGAAAGTGTGTTAGGACTTTAGAACCCCTCCCTCTCTCAGAACCCCTCCCTCTCTCACCATCTTCATAACAAGGGGAGGTGCTTCTGTAGTTTACTATAGGATTGAACTCATGGTCCAGGCACTACTAGACCTAGCTTACTCTGCTTTCTTCCATTACCCGATTAGCTGGCCTTATTCGAAGACCCAGATCTCATTGGCTGAAACTTACATTAATCTATCTTCTGTCATATGTACTTATATATTATTCTCTCCTTGCGCTACTAAAATCTCACAAATGGAAAACCGTTATCTAAGAGTACAATAAAAAAAGTTATAATCCTACATACACAACAGATCCAGAGGAAGGCAAAAAAACCCCAGCAAAGCATGATCCAATTTGCTCCGGCTGGGAAAAAATTCCTTTCTGATCCCCCGAGAGGCAATCAGATATTCCCTGGATCAACTTTACCTATAAATGTTAGTATCCAGTTATATTCTGTGTATCTAGGAAAGAATCCAGGACTTTTTTAAAGCAATCCACCGAGCTGGCCAGAACCAACTCTTGAGGAAGTCTATTCCACATTTTCACAGCTCTTACTGTGAAGAAACCTTTCCGTGTTTGGAGATTTAATTTATTTTCCTCCAGATGTAAAGAGTGCCCCCTTGTCCTCTGTGATGACCTCAGGGTGAATAGCTCTACACCGAGTTCACTATATGAATCACTGATAAATTTATACATGTTGATCATATCCCCCCTTAATCTCCTCTTCTCAAGAGAGAATAAATTCAGTTCCTCTAATCTTTCCTCATAGCTGAGCTCCTCCATGCTTCTTATCAGTTTGGTTGTCCTTCTCTGTACTTTCTCCAGTTCCCCAATGTTCTTTTTGTGGATCGGTGCCCAAAACTGAACTGCATATTCCAGATGAGGTGTTACTAATGATTTGTACCGGAGGAAATGATATCTCTCTCTCTGGAGTCTATACCTCTTTTAATACAAGAGAGGATTTTGCTCTCTTTAGAAACCGCAGCTTGGAATTGTATGCCATTATTAAGCTTGTGATCTACCAGAACTCCCAGATCCTTCTCCACCATTGATTCCCCCAGTTGTACCCCCCCCCTAGTATGTATGATGCATGCATATTCTTAGCCCCCAAGTGCAGAACCTTACATTTATCAACATTCAACCTCATTTGCTACATAGTTGCCCAATTACACAGAGCATTGAGGTCGGCTTGTAAGTTGAAGACATCCTGTAAGGACGTTATTCCACTGCACAGCTTGGTGTCATCTGCAAAGACTGAAATGGTACTTATAATCCCAGACCCTATATCGTTTATAAATATATTAAAAAGTAAGGGTCCCAACACTGAACCTTGGGGTACACCACTGATGACCCTAGACCATTCAGAGTAAGAATCATTAACCACTACTCTCTGAATACAATCTTTATCCATTTACATACGGATTTTTCCAAGCCTGTAGACTTTACTTTACACATTAGCTGTGTGTGGGGAACTGTGTCAAATGCTTTTGCAAAATCCAAGTATATCACGTCCACCACCAACCCTCTGTCCAAGTATACCACGTCCACCACCATCCCTCTGTCCAAGTATACCATGTCCACCGCCACCACTCTGTCCAAGTATACCACGTCCACCGCCAACCCTCTGTCCAAGTATACCACATCCACCGCCACCCCTCTGTCCAAGTATACCACGTCCACTGTCACCCCTCTGTCCAAGGTTTTGCTCACCACCTCATAAAAAGAAATCAGATTTATTTGACAACTTCTGTCTTTCATGAATCCATACTGTCTGTTGCTTAAAATATATTTTTTTCCAGCAAGAACTCATCTATGTGGTTTTTTTATAAAACTCTCCAGTATCTTCCCAACTATAAAAGTTAAACTAACAGGTCTATAATTACTTAGTAAAGATTTAGACCCCTTTTTAAATATTGGCACCACATTGGCCTTACGCCAATCCAGTGGTACTATGCCAGTCATTAAAGAGTCCCTAAAAATCAGAAACAATGGCTTTGAAATGCCAGAGCTCAATTCTTTAAGGACCCGTGGGTGTAAGCCATCCAGTCCAGGTGCTTTATTCATCTTTATTCTATCTAAATATTTTTGGATCATATCAATTGTGAGCCAATGTGGATCATCTGGAGCTGTGTCAATACCATGCCCACTATGGACAAGAGCTCCCCCATGCTCCTTTGTATACACAGAGCTGAAGAAGGTATTTAATAAATTTGCCTTCTCTTTTTGGGGGTTGGTCCAGCTATTTTGTGCAATCTGTCGTTCATTTTCAATTTTTGCAGCCTTTATTTCCTTTTTGCATCAACATAGGTATTGCATAGGTATTGCATGAGGAATTTGCTTCAACTTATCTATTTCATGAGGAAGTGACTTCAACTTACAGTAGGCATTGTATGAGGAGGTGCTTCAACTGCTTAGCTATTGCATGAGGAGGTGACTTCAACTTAGATACTGCATGAGGAGGTGACTTCAACTTAGATACTGCAGTAGGAGGTGGCTTCAACTTAGGTATTGCACTAAGATCCTGCAGCTTCTTGTACACTTCTGGCTATTTAGAATACTGACATTTTCCATTGTGTCTTACCTGCTCCACACGGCAGAGTTTATCTACGGTTCCTTGGTAATGCTTCATGCAGTCCTCGGCCAGGTGCAGGTGAGTGGAGTACTGTTGAGAAATTACTCTCTTTACTACTTACAGTATAGCAATTCATATGTTATAAGACATGACCTGACAGAACTGGAGGGTATCAGTCATCTATATGATGTGGACACATGGTAACATGGCACTAGGTGCTCTGGACTGATGAGTCAAACATTTAAATGTCTGGCTCTAACAGATGGCAATTTGTTCACTGATGGAAAATAACATGAATGACTAGGTGAAGATAAGGGTGGTGGGGGGCATTTGTCCCCTGGGCACTGGACTCAGTGACATCTGCTAAAGGTTATTTAGCTATCCATTTCTGCTCAGACCAGTGATCACAACAACAGACATTGATTTCCTATGCAGATACCATAAATCTGAATGTATAGAGCCTCAAAGGAAGTTGATGCTGAAAATTAACTGTCCCTCTCATGACAGAGCCACGTGGCCACATGTTTTCCCCCAGGCCAAAGGTTCTCAGTCTTCCCCTGACTAATTTCTAGTGGAAGAAGATTAATGTGTACTGGAAACAGTAAAGCACAGTGGAGGTTCCTTGAAAATTTAGGGTTGCAAGAAAAAAAAATAGAATGTACAGATAGGGTTAACTTCATCACCATTTATGGAGACTGTAATATAAGTAGTAAGTAGTAGTATAAGTGCTGATTGTAGTATGAAATGGATCAGGTCTAGTGCGGTAGAAGAGAGATTGCCATGTTCCCTCACTGTACTATGAACATGGATCAGATCCACTGCAGTTTTAAAGAGACTACTTTGTCAGTTAACCGTACTATGTGCATGGATCAGGTCCAGTGCAGTAGTAGAGAGACTGCTATGTCCACTTACTGAACTATGAGCAGGGGCGGACTGACCATTTGGAAACTCGGGCACTGCCCGAGGGCGCAGGGTCTGTAGGGGCCCCATGAGATGCCCCTGGTACCTTTTTCAGAGGCTTTTTTTTGAGTTTGGTCAGGGACACAGGGGCCCCATGATCCCCTATTGCCCGGGGGCCCCATGAGTTGTCAGACCGCCCCTGACTATGAGCATGGATCAAATCTGGTGAGATGCTCTAACATCTTACTGTACTATGAACATGATGCAGTAGTATGTCCACCAGTGACAAAACAATGTCATCTCGTGCCCAGGGTGAACATGAAAAATTGTGCCCCCCCAAAGTATATGAGCATTATATGTCAGCAACCCCCCCCCCTTCAAAAAAAATCAAGCACTAATCTGCATGCTAACCCTCTAAGCATAACTTTTTCCTCCTCCCAGTACAAATCCACTCTCCTGCTGAAGCCCCCGCCCCCTCCCAATACAATATTTCCCCTCCAACCCTTAAAAAAAATTTCCCCCTCCTAGCACAAATCCTCTACCCCCCAAATGTACCCTCCAAGCACCCCCCCCCAAATTTCCCCTCCTAGCACAAATACCCCCAGTCACACCTACTAGCACAAATCCCCTCCCTCAAAAAAAAAAAATTCCCCTCCTAGAAAAAATCCCCCCACCACAAATACTCTTCCCCCAAATGACCACTCCTAACACACCTCCCCAAATTTCCCCTCCTAGAACAATTCTTACCTCCTATTGCCCCCAAATTCCTCCTCCCAACACAAATCCCCTCCCCTGAATCTCCTTATGGTGCCCCCCCCCACCTCACATGATACCACAATGCCCAGGGCAGCCACCCTTCCTGCCCACTAACTGTACTACGAGTACTCCAGTGTGGTAGTAACGAGATTGCTATGGCTGAATTTAGCGATTCAAAGAAGTGATGTTATTTACTTTGCTTAGCTCTTTCTGGTACTGTGGCATCTTCTTCAACATTTGAGAAAGATCCCTCATGGTTGTCTAGGACAGAAAAAAAAAAAACATTATCATTACTGTGGTGAGGTCACTTAGTGGTGTGGTGTCACCATGTAGAAGTAAGAAGAGTCAGTCACCTTGTCACCTGTGTTCATCCTCTTGCTGGAAGAAAAGTCCTTCAGAGAGCGAGTCACCTCTCTAGGATTCAGAAGAACAAAACAAGTCAGCTAAATATGAATAATCTTATAAGGTCTGTTAATATGTTTTTTTTACATGTTTATGTGTAGTATGGGTGGTAGTAACATCTCCTCTTTATGTCAGCATGCTTTTCTACTTAAAGTATATCTAAAGCCCAAACCTTTCTTTTTTAGTTTTGGATGGAGTAGGGTATGGTTAAAACCCCTGTTGTTTTTTTCCCATTGGGGAGATGCTCCTCATTTCACGTCTCTAGACACAACAAGTATTGGGAGCAATTTGTCTCTGTTACCGGAACAACTGTCCCCATTAGAAGATTTCCCTTCTATTCCTGTTCCAATGACAAATCAAAATTTGAGCTGCCTTTACCTTAGCTTCTTCCCCCTCCCATTCTTACACCTCCAGGGCTAAGGAATGCAAGGGGGAAGAAGTTAGGGTAACATTAGGGTGACATTACATCGCTGGTACCTGGCGATTGGCTGCTCAGGCACTCAACGCTGCATCATGGGAGGAAGGGAAGAAGGTCACATGTGTCTTCATGCCCATAATTACAGTGTATTTCTCTTTCCTCTAGGAGAATGAACAGATTGCTAAGTGTACCAAAGGAAGTTTAGTATAAGCAGATGCAGGGATGAGAGGGGATTTAAATGAACCTGTTAGTTTGCCCTCTGCAGGTAAAGTACATGTTCACTTTAAGGTCCTATCTAGCCTCTTTAGGCCAAAGTACTTACTGGGAAACTTCTGCAATGTGTTTGTGACGCAAGGTCACCCAGAGATCATCATCTTCATCTAGGAGGACCTCCTTGACTCGCTGTTCTCCTATACCACTTGTTTCATACCTAATAAGACAAAGATATTTTTGAGACTTAAAACTATACAAATGTACCTACAAAAAAGTAGGTATTCTGCCCACAGCAAAAAATCAGATCAGTCTTTCATTTTTATAGAAAATTATAGATAACACCAACCTGGTTACTACAGACAGTGGCTCTATTTATAGAGGAACTTCAGATTCAGCCAACAGTAAAACATACATTTGTATGATGATGTTTAAAAATATACGAAGAACTTACAGCCCTGCAATGTAAAAACACTACCACACATGTCAAAGTGGAATCATACACTAGGATTAGAGAAATGCAAATGACTGAACATTTAATGGCTAGATTAAATAACAGTCTGGACATGTACATGGAAGTGTGGACACCTTGTGATCTCCACATTTGTCAGGCATAGCCTTTCTCCTCTGCTTGGTGACCAGTCTCTTAGCTTTCCTCTTTCTTTTTTCTCTATCTCTAATTTGATCTCTCTCCTACTCTAATATCCTTTTTTTAATCTATTCCCACTTTGGTCTTTACCCGTGTGGGTTACCCTCTCAGGATTTGTGTTTATGTGTTACTCAGATGTCTAATACTATGTGAGATCAGTTGCATGCTTAGCTTAGTGATTAGATTTTGAAGTCAGTAGATCATGGAGAGATGGAGGATACCACTTCTACCATTAGGCACTTTACAGTGATTGCCACCTTGACCTCTTTAACATCTATGGCCTCTATGAGCCTTCAAGCTCTGGACCTGTTTCTCACTGGGGGTTCTCTACCGTTGTCTTTCCCTTCTCCTTGGGAGGTGGTTCATCTCAGTTGAATTCATGTAATAATTGTGACATTTACTTCAAAGAGTTGTGACTTTCCGTACCATTTTATACTGGCTTTTAGTGCATTTTTGTGTATATTTCAGATCTGGCAGAATATAGAAACAGCCCCTTTAAACCTTTTCAACACAGAGGAAGCCTTGAAATAACTTTCTGGTCTCTGGTTGTCAGTGGTGTACCCCAAGGTTCAGTACCTTTACTTTTTAATATATTTATAAATGATCTAGAGTCTGGGATTAAAAATTCCAATTCAGTCTTTGCAGATGACACCAAGCTGTGCAGTGGAATAACGTCCTTCCAGGATGTCTTCAACTTACAAGCTGACGTCAATGCACTGTTTAATTGGGCAACTATGTGGCAAATGAGGTTTAATGTTGATAAATGTAAGGTTATGCACTTGGGGGCTAAGAATATGCATGCATCATACATACTAGGTACAACTGGGGGAATCAATGGTGGAGAAGGATCTGAGAGTTCATATCATTTTACCCAGTACAAATCATTGGTAATACCTCATCTGGAATATTCAGTTCAGTTTTGGGCACCAATTCACAAAAAGAACATTGGGGAACTGGAGAAAGTACAGAGAAGGGAAACCAAACTGATAAGAGGCATGGAGGAGCTCAGCTTTGAGGAAAGATTAGAGGAACTGAATTTATTCTCTCTTGAGAAGAGGAGATTAAGGGGGGATATGATCACCATGTATAAATTTATCAGTGATTCATATAGTGAACTCGGTGTAGAGTTATTCACCCTGAGGTCATCACAGAGGACAAGGGGGTGCTCTTTACGTCTGGAGGAAAAGAAATTTAATCTCCAAACACGGAAAGGTTTTGTCACAGTAAGAGCTGTGAAAATGTGGAAAAGACTCCCTCAAGAGTTTGTTCTGGCCAGCTCGGTGGATTGCTTTACAAAAAAGCCTGGATTCTTTCTTAGATACACAGAATATAACTGGATACTAACATTTATAGGTAAAGTTGATCCAGGGAATATCCGATTGCCTCTCGGGGGGATCAGGAAGGAATTTTTTCCCCTGCAGGAGCAAATTGGATCATGCTTTGCTTGTTTTTTTTGCTTTCCTCTGGATCTACTGTGGGTGTAGGATTATAACTATGTAACTATGTCTCAAGGAACCCCTGGTAAAAATTACTATATCTACAACTCATGATACATTAGTGTGATGGTCAGCGGGAGGGAGGCTCCTTACACATTTGGTCATTAGGAAGAATTACCACCTTACAGATAATGAAAAAGATCAGTGGTGTCAGTGGAAACCTATCTGAGAGGCAGCCACTTCTCACTACTCAAGGAACCTCTAGCAGTCTCTAAAGGAACCCTAGGGTTCCATGGAACTTTGGTTGAGAACCCCTGATCTAGAACAAACTTAATAATTCACTGGCAGCCCACTAAGAGATTATTGAAGGGAGTTGTTAAAACTGTGGCATCCTCAGCATCTCTGTTCAAGGTTTTGTCATACAGGTGACTATGATCATAAATGCTGCATGCACAGCACCATCCATAAGTCGAAGAAGAGAAGCAGAGCCAATCTATGATGGAAGGGTGGCATGCTAGAAATGTTGTGCAGAGAAGAGAAATACAGATTTTTATATCATGCTGTTTTGAAGTGACTGTCATGTGCACCCCAAAAGGAGTAAAGGTGAGGGCAATGTAGACCCCAAAACCAAAATGAACATCTGTCTCTGAAGCAACCTAGGAATTTGATCAAGACAATTAGATAGGAATAGTGCTGTTTGCTGGAATTATCTTTAACAACCAGTTTTATTATATCTGATATGTCAGCTTTTCATCTTACTTATACACATCATTCTCCACCGGCAGAAGGTCATAGCTCATGGCCTGAAAGGTTAGCTCATGCAGAACTGGGGAGGAGGGATCAAAACCCCGATCCAAGATAATGAGCTGCGAACGAGCCTTGTCTGGGCCCTGCAATTAAAGAGAAGAAACCAAATGTAACTATGGAAGTCCAATACAGTATTTTTTTCTTAGAATGGCCACCATTAATCAGATCTTTTCCATTTTCAATGACTGTAGTTGGTAATGCCTCACCTCCCCCATTGTGGGATCATCAGCCTTGTATGCATCAAGCTTATCTTGGATCAGCTGCGCAAGCATTGCGTTATCCTTGTAATCTCTGAGGGGAAAACACATGGGGTAATCACTTCACTTATGTAACCTACTAAACTTCTATGACCAGTTGCACTACACAGCATCCTACAGCATTGATCCTTCATAAACATAACCAGCATGCACCATATTCACTGTTTAATTTCTATCCCATTCCTCTTTCAACCATTGGTATGCTCCCATGCAATATGCCCGATTTTGGGAGCTACTGTGTCTATACCGTTATACTGAACTTAATCCTATAACTAATCTGTTTTCCAGTGAATTTATAAATAGACGCTAACCTCTAAATCCCACTTAATTCATTTGCTGTATTTTTTTCTGTTTAAAGACAACAACAGTACCTGATTCCAGATTGCTTCCAGGCTGTAAAAACTAGCTAGATATTGTGGTTGATTTACTAAGAGCAAATAGGTGGTTTACTTTGCAAGGGAAATTTCCCTTAGCTTAGTCCAAAAATTACAGTGCATCCAAAAATTACCAATCCGGATGCACTGCTTCTGCAGTTTTATTGGAAGACATTGAAGAGTTGATTGATGAATCCAAACGTAAACAATAACCAAGTTAGGCTAAGAGTGAATTCTCTGTAAGGGACAAGAGGTCCATCACTTTAGAACCCTAGCAAAAAAACTGAGGATTCACATATAGAGGGTTATAGGGGACACCCAGGGGGCATGTACTCCAAAGCTATGCTGACGTGCAGTCACTTGCAGTTACGAGCCTGTAACACAGAGTCTATAAATATTAAGCCTGTGTCCTATACTGTATGATTACAGTATACTTTTTTTTTTCCTTGCACATGATTGTGTATTCTTTGATAAGTGAATTTTCCACATATTCACTAAGCTGAGAGAAAAATCCCTTACAAAGTGAACAGCCTATTTGCCTTTAGTAAATCAATGCCATCATTTAATGCATTGTAAGTAGTATGTAACGATAACAAAAAAGTATTATCTCTGAAAGAGATCTCAGACCACCTCTGATGACACAATCATGAAAATTCTGGATTTTTACTTTATTTCCTTGGCTGTGTGTACATGTACACATCTCAGACTTTGCTGCTTCCTCTGTCACTATGTGACTAGCCAGGGTACAAATTTATCACACTCAGATAGCTCAGTCCCTTGCTGCTTCTAAAACTGTGACCAGCCAATGTACAAATCTATCTCTCTAAGCTAAAGTGACACTTCACACCAAGGCAGTGCGGGAAACACTGCAAATCCTGTGCATTTCCCACACCACATTGCAATCGCATCACATTTATGCGATCTGGTGCAGGTGTCAATGATAAATTAATGACACTCTGAAACAGATCGCAAAACACGATGCGATTTCCAGAGATGACAACACCCATGCAATGTGATTCAGGTGCGGATTAAAAAAAAAGGTCCTGCACCTTTTTTGGTATAGCTCAAATCACACTGCACAGACATGTGCATGAAATTCGCACAAATTACATGCGGTGTCTCGCACCACATAGTGTGAACCCAGCTAAAGCTTCGGTTTTGTTTTCTAAAATAAAAAACCTGTCAATACTTACTTGCTCTGTGCAGTGATTTTTCGCATAGAAGTCCCGATCATCTTGTTTTCTGGGTCCCCTCTGGCACTCCTGGCTCCTCCTTCTTCAGCAGTGCCCTCAGGGAAAGCCGGTCGCCCTGGGGCACCTCTGCGTGCTCATCTCCGAGCTGCCGCTCTATGCGTCCATAAGCCACATAGAGCTGCAGCTCAGCCCAACCCCTCTCTATCCTCATTGGCTCACTGGCTGTGATTGCCGGCAGCAGGAGCAAATGGGCTCCTGTTCCTGTCTCAGCCAATGAGGAGGAAGAATCCCCAAATCCCAGAGGCTGTCGAGAACGTTGCTGGATCGGAGGGGACTCAGGTAATGATTGGGTGGGGGGCAGGGGAGCCACTGCACACAGAAGGTTTATTTTAGCCTTTAGAACCACTTTAAGGGTTAGAGATCTCAAGGCTTGTTGATACATTGTTTGCTGTAAAAAAAAAAAAAAAAAACTGCCCATCAATCTGTCCCCTAATTGAACACTACAAGCTAATCTGAACAACAAAAGCTGCCTATAGAAAGGTAAGAAATGCTTAAAAATAAAAAAGTACTGCACTCCCCAACTATGCACCTAGTGCACCCCTGAATTCTGCACTCTGTGCATAGAGCACCCCTGATCTTTGTACATAACACACATCTGGAATGTATTGCCCCTTTAATATCCTCCCAGTGTTAGTGCAATTTGGCCACACCCAGTGTTCAATGCAGTTTGGCGGGGACGTGGTTGAGTTCCTGCGCCTATTCTCTGAGAAAAGAAAACATGGATAAATTTATATAGTCTTACAGATCCAACTAGCCCTTTGAGGGCACCCATAATGCTGATGCAGCCCACGATGAAATTGAGTTTGAAACTGCTGATATAAATAGTCATTTGTCCAAATAAAGAGTCATTTTACATCAGTTGTAGCCAAGATCATTCTGCAGAAGGACGAGAGCCTGAATAATGTATTGTGTTTTTTTTTCCCAAATATCTTATATCTGTATATTATAACTGGTTCTACTGTGCCCTAAGCAACAACCTTTCCCTTGACAGCACTGCTGTAATAACACACCCGCGGTAGCGCACAGCTGGGTACTCTTTCAAGGTGGCACACAGAGTGGCAAGCTGTTCTGCAAGACGCTCTAGGATCGGGTTCTTCATCTGAGCTTTATGAGGACTGTAGAAACTGTGGAAGGAATCTGGGTAATCCAAAGAAAACACCTAGAAGATATGGTAAGTAAACGTTTAGTGAAAAAAGACATTAGGTGGGTCAAAGCATATATCAACATAAACCAAATATACACTGTATGACCAAAAATGGACACCCTTCCATTTCATTGAGCACTTTCAACTTTGTAGTAACAGTTTGGGGAGGGATCTTTTCTGTTCCAGCATGACTGTGCCCCTGTGTACAAAGCCAACCCCATAAAGACATGGTTTGATGAGTTTGGTGTAGAGCAACTTGAGTGGCTTCCACAGGACGCTGACCTCAACTTTACTGAACACCGTCGGGATTATTCGGAACACTATGAGCCAGGTCTCTTTGTTGAACATCAGGTCCTGACCCCAAAAATGTTCTTTTGGCTGAATGTGCACAAATTCCCACAAAAACACTCCAAAATATTGTGAAAAGCCTAACCAAAAGAATGAAGGTTGTTATAGTTCCAAAGGGGGATGTGGGTTGGGGGCAACTATATACTAATGGCCATGGTTTTGGAATGGGATATCCAACAAGCTCATATACTGTAGGTCTGATGGTTCCTATTAACATGATTTAGGTTCTCTGTGAGATGCCAGTGGTTTTGTTTTACCTTGCTACTTTTGGAACTTTTTTCTATTTGTGCCTGATCATAAGTTCTACCAACCCTTATAGACAACATTATAAATACGAGAAGAAACGGCTCTCAGAGTCCAGCAGAACACTGCTAAAGTAAGACATTTTGAAAGTGCCTGATTTTGCAACTTATTTATACATACCTCTATTAGTCTTAAAGCTGAATTGTGGGCAAACAGCTACCAGTACATATACATAGATATTTATACCTATGAATTTCTGTCCATTCAGTTCACGATTTATAAAACTTTGCCACACAGTTCAGCTAGGGAGATGATCCCAATTACAGTTAAGGAATACGATGGTATTCCCCTCCAGCCTGAGCCTTCTGACTGGACACTGAAAGAGCAGAAGCAGATTGATGGGGTCTTTACTCACTCTAGTTTCTCTTTCAACCAGTATGTCCTTGACAGAACATTTTCATGCAGAACACCTGACTGGATCTCAGTTCTCCCTTCCCTTTCCCAGTCTGCGTGTTACTGTATAGGGCTTTGGTGCCCAACCTGCAGCCCTTTGCCACTTAGTCCCTTCTGCAGTACCTGCAGACAATAGTTTGTGATTCCCTTACCTAGGTGCTTACACAGCCCAGTAAAGGAGAATACCCTTTAGACTGGATTCTAATAGATAAATGGTTTGCTTTATTTCTTTCACACAATCTTACTTTTTTCTGTGCTGTACAGTACATTACTACAGGTACTTACTACAGGTATTTATATAGCGCCATCAATTTACGCATCGGTTTACATATATTGTACATTTTTCCCATTTCGTCTCTAACCCTCAAGGAGCTTGCAATCTAAGGTCCCTAACTCACATTCATACATATAATATGGCCAATTTAGACACCTTTTCCCCAACAGCAATTTTAAGATCTCTCCACAGGTGTACAATGATTTCCAATGGGGACCCAGGATTCATGGACGCATTATACCCATGGCATTTTTTTAGACAGGATAGATCTGGGCTCATTGCTGGCCACTTCAGAACTCTCCAGCGCTTCTTTGCCATCCATTTTCTGAGTGCTTTTTGACGTATGTTTGGGGTCATTGTCCTGCTGGAAGACCCAGGATCTTGGACGCAAACCCAGCTTTCTGAACCACCCCCATCATGTCTTTGGAGAGTGGGAGGAAACCGGAGTATCCGGAGGAACTCCACGCAGGCACAGGGAGAACATGCAAACTCCACGTAGGTAGAGCCATGGTTGGGATTTGAGCCGACAAGCCCAGTGCTGCTAGGCTGAAGTGCTAACCACTTTCTTCTTGTATTTTCCTTTTTCAATTTGTTTTTCTGATAGTTTACAATGGATCTTGCTAAATGAGATATCAAAGGTGGCACGTCACATTAAGAGGACTGCAGGAAGCACAAATTCGTGGAAAAATGATTTGTAAAGGGGCTGTAATAACATTTATGTCTAGCAGTCTCTTACAGCGTCTCACTTGACTGTCTCCTGAAGCATGCCCTCAATCTTCAACCAGGCTTTTTATATATCTGCAGTTTCCTGAGCATCTCTCGTAGGTCTTCTATAGTCTTTGACCATCTCTTGTTGCAAGCCTGCAGTCTCTGATAGCTTTCTGTAGCATTCACTGAACATTCCGGTTTGCCCTTTGTTGTGATATCAGGGGCCACACTTGAATCCACCTAGAGTTGTGCTCAAAAGTCTGCATACCCTGGCAGAAATCATGAAATGTTGGCATTGATATTGAAACTATGACCTAGCATGCCAAAAAAACTGTCTTTTTATTTAAGGATAGTGATCAAACTGCTGATCAAAAGTTTACATACCCTGGCAGTGGTGTAGCATGGGTTGTCAGCACCTGGGGCAAAGCAAGTCATTTGCACCCCTAACCCGTAGACTATTAGCACTTTCTCATAGAAACTCAAAGGGTTCCTCCATTTACAGCCTGAGCCTCTGATTGACTACCTGCAGCCTTTTATTATTGGTTGAATCTGAGATATCTGTTTGACTACAGTAATCAAAGAGATATCTTCTCAGATTCAAATAATAATAAAAGACTGCAGCAGCCAATCAGAGGCGCAGGCTGTAAATAACGAGTTGCCCTTACATACAGCAGAAAAGGCAGCCAATAATAACCCCAACATAAGGGGAAATTAAAAAAAGAAGATGGGAGGAGGGGAGGGGTGTCCCTTCTTTTTTTAATTCCCTCACCTGGAGCCATGGGGGGTACGGGGGCTCAGGTGTGAATGGAGAGGACAGGGGCTCTGAATAATCTGTCACAGCAGAGCAGGCAGCCATTACCCCTATGTAATTTATGTTGGCATTATTGGCTGGTTGCTCTGCTCTTCTGGCTTCACAGCTGGTTTCCTACTGCGTATGCGCAAGCAGCGCTGCGTTTTGTGATTGGTCCCACAGTCTTCTGGAACCAGAGATTGCCATGGCAAAGTCAGCCAAAAGTGGAAATGGGTACCTGTCAAAACCAAAAACTGCAGTGGGAAGGGGGGGGGGGGGGTGGAGGTGATGCTAACAAGCAGGAACGTCCCCTTTTGGATGGAGTTCCGCTTTAAGGGCTCCTCGTTATTCACAGCCAAAGCCTCTGATTGGTTGAGTCTGAGATAGCTCTTTGACTATAGTAATCAAAGAGCTATCTCTGGTTCATCCAATAATAAAAGGCTGCGTACTGAGGGCAGCCAATCAGAGACTTGGCTGTCAATAACAAGGACCCCTTACTAATCCGTACTGATAACATTACATCGGGGTTATTGGCTGGCTGCTCTGCTGTAAGTGAGGAGACCCCCCCCACCACCACTACCAGGGGGCAGGAGGGATAACAGATGGGAGGCAATAAGGATCATCTCCCCACCCCCCCACACAAGGTGCCCCCCAGCCCCCCTCCTGTATCCTCTCAGCCAGGCAGGAATTATGGTGCAGAAACAGAAGCCACTGTACTTATACATGGGGCACTCTGCATAGTCCCGAGTGCTGTGGTCAGGTTCCTTCTATCTGCTGCGTGTGACAAGCTGAGATCCCAGGTCGTTGGCAGCCCTCCTCACCACCCCTCCTCTTCTGTAGTCGGCAGGGGAGACAGACACATTCTGCTCACATTCTCTCTGCTAGGTTCTGCCATATCCTGGCCGGGGGAGGAGGGCCAGTGACTTCAGCGCCCCGTCCCATTGATGTCAGTGGATCACACATGGTCCGGCTCTTCTTGTCATGCTCTGGCCCTTCTTCCACAGAAAACAATGGGGCCGGCTGGGGCATCAGACCAAGCACATGTGAGAGGGGCAGGACTCATTTCTGCGCCCCTCTAAATGTTGCACCCAGAGCGACAGTACCAGTTGCCCCCCTACGCTATGCCACTCTACCCTGGAATGTGTGACCTTGGTACAGACACAGAGGTTTGTTACTTCTCAGGTGGATGCACTGAGCAGGATAGATACTAAGCCATGAGAAGCAGAAAAGAACTGTCAAAAGACATGTATAACAAGGTAATGGAACGATATAAAGATGGAAATGGATATAAAAAGATATCCAAAGCCTTGATACCAAGCCAAGATCAGGTAGACTAAAAAATATTTAAGCCACAACAGCAGAATTGTTCAGGATACAAAGAAAAGTAACCTAAAGAGAAATACAGACTGCTCTGGAAAATGATGATGTGGTTGTTTCAATGAGCAAAATATGACGATACTTGAACAAAAATTACCTTACAGATTCTGCCACACTGTAATCTAAGGTGTCGAGAGCAAAATAGAGCTTTATGGTCACAAATACAAGCACTATGCTTAGAATGGGGTCAACAAGGCCTATAGTGACAGAAATACCATCTCCTCTGTGAAGCACAGTGGTTGCTCACTGATATTTTGGGGACAATTTGCATTCTTCTGCATGAAAGCTGCACATGGGATGCTCTTGGACTTTCCAGCACAACAATGACCCTAAGCACAAGGCCAAGTTGATACTCCAGTTGAATAATTATCCCATATGAAATAAAAGAAATGCATTTTGCCTGCTCACTCATGTTTTATTTAAAATTGTACATACTGTATAATACCAATTCTCCAAGAGTATTTCCACCTTTTGAGCACAACTGTATATCAAGAAAGTTGACCACCACTGGTATAGCGGACCAAATCAAACTCACGTACTTACACAATTTGCATTTAAAAATACTTAATGATATAATATTGAAGATTTAGCTAAATCAATGTAAATATTTTATATATGCCGGTGGTTATCTTTAAAATACATAAGCCTCTACTGCCCAAATTTTGCTGATGTGACTTACCTGTGACTCATAGGGAAGGAATGCGATGTTAATTTCCGTCAATGTCTTGATAACTTTGGATGCTCGTGACTTGACCAGCTCATTAAACAGGCTGTCTGGACAGGCTGTGGAAACAGGTTGTGAAACGATGAGTACAATGGCTGATGAAAGAAACTAAGGGAAAGATGCAAGGGGGCACCAGACCGGGGAGGAGATACGAGGGTGATCGGCTCAGTGTTAGTGACACACTTACAGTCTGTAAAGAAGACGTGTGCTGCTTTGTACTTAGAGGAAGAAGGATCTTTGAAGTCATTGATGAGGGAATGAACAGACTGCAAGAGAAGGAAGGAGCGTGAGAGGAAGCCTAAGATACAAGGTGACAAAGATGGAATAAGAGGTTGCAACAGCAATGTGCACAAGCTATGAATATGAAATTAAAGTTCCTGTATGGCCAAAACTCTTTTTTTAAGTTTTGGATAGAGTATAGAATGATTAAAACCCCTGCCAGATTTTTTGGTTTTGTATCATTAAGGAAAATTCCCTTCACTTCCAGTCCCAGAGACGCAACAGAAAGTTACAGGAAATCTCCCCAAAAGAAGGAAATTTACATTTTAGACAGTTGTCCCCATAACAGGTGTTCCCACCTTAACCCTTGATCAAGGGACAACTTCAAATTTTGGATTTCACCTTTATTTTAATAATGGTCACCCGTACAATAGAAGGGACAATCTCCCCTATGGGAACACAGACAGCAATAAGAATTAGCAGGGCCTAACCCTTCCCTACACTAGCCAAAACTAAAAGAAAAAAATGATTTTGCCTAGAGATACACTTGCAATAAACCTATTGCTTGTAGGCCCAAATGTAATAAATCAGCTTTTGATAGATGTGAATGGACAATAACCTCACTGACTTCTTACGTTTTGTGAGACTCTGGCAGCTTGACATCTCTGTACCGAAGTTTCCAGGCTCACCCTCCTGATTGACCATTAGGTTGCCAGTAGATTCCACAAATATGATAAAATGACAGCCAAGACAGTATGCATGATCTGACCATGCTAAGGCATTTGAATCACAGTGAAAGCAGATGCTGCCGATACCACTTATTACAAGGAGGAACAAAAGTGCTTGCAATATGTTCTCTAAATTGTCCAATTGATTGTTCCTCCAAAAAGTAGTTTACTAGTGGTCCTGAACAAGTCCGAATGGTTACTAATGCCTATGGCTAGCTTTACAAACTGTTTAAAGGCAGCAGGAAGAGTGAGATATTGAGACATATAACACAAGAAGCCACTGGTGAAAAAAAACTATTTTGGGTGAACTAATATGTAAATGTTTCTTTAACCACCTCCCGTCCGGCCGTTGTATATAAACAGCCGGACAGTGGCACTGCAGGGTCGGGTGGCCGTTTATAAATGGCCTCCCCGCACCCTGCTTGTGCGCGCTCCCTGGGAGCGCACAGCACCGCGATCCGGTGCCCGCTGTGTCCTCCGGACACGGTGAAACACCGATCGTCGGACGGGACCTCTGCACGAGGTCCCGATCATGTGATCGCTGATTGGCCAATCAGTGATCACATGCATAGTAAGCAAGATGTCACTTGTGAGATCATTGCTTACTATGTGTGAAATCTGTGAATGATCACAGAGGTCACATGGTACAAGGCTATTCACAACAGCCTTGTACCATGTGACAAGCTGTGACCAATCACAGCTCACTCAGTAGTTCTCAATGGCTTCAAGAATGCAGACAGAGAGAAAGAGAAATTATTGCATTTACATCCTATATGGGTATAAAAGCAATCAGTGTAAAAAAAAAAAGAAAAAATCTTCATCACCCCCCACAAGTAGTACAGTGTCACACTGGTGACACTGTACTGCTAGGGTGACAGTATGTTAAAAAAAAATAATAATATAAAAAAATAAAATAAAAATGTAAAAAAATGTTTAAAAATTATAATTTTTGGTTATAAACTAATTTGGCTTATTTTTTTTTTACTAAAAAGATAATGGAATAAATTTTGGCCAGGATTTATGATGAAATATTATTTATTTGCAAAATACTTTTTTTCAAAATTTTTGGACTTTTTCATTTACATAGCAAAAAAAAAAAAAAATCCCAGTGGTAAATAAATACCACCAAAATAAAGTTTTATCTGTCTCAAAAAAATGGTAAAAAATTCATATGGGTACAGTGTTGCATGACCGCGCAATTGTCATTTAAAGTGTGATAGCGCTGAAAGCTGAAAATTGCCCTGGACAGGAAGGGGGTAAAAGTGTCCAGACAGGAAGTGGTTAAGAATAATTTTTAAGAAAGGCCACCACCCACCCACGAATATTAACCTTCCCTAATCTGTCTGAGCCTTGAGTCTAATCCCTGCGTAAGCTTCGAGTAAGAGTTTATATGGGGTAATGATCTCATCTCTCATATGTGACAGTGTTTGGGCCTGGTGACTGAATTCTGAGTCCTGAACATTGCACCCTGTGAGTAAGGGGAGAAGATCACATGCTCATCCATACCCAGAAGTACTGGGTATTTCTGAGTGAGGATGTAGGGGGATGGGCACTAGCGAGAATCATTCCATGCTCAGAATGTTTATTTTTAACAGTAGGGCATTTTTGATAAAATTCACATTTTACCTTTTTCTAATGAAAAAAAATATGTGGTAGCCCAAGTTGGTGTTGCATCTTTCATCGTTTCCTTTTTCTTTTTGTACCATGGCTATATTTGTGTTAAAACCCACCTACAAAATAGGATCTGGGCACCTTTAATTGTTAGTGGATTCCCCCAACCATATAATATATATTTTTTTGTATTTCTGAGAGCCCCTGACAGGCAACTAGAGTGGTGGGGGAGCATGGCAAAGGAGGGTATGAATGGGTGGTGGGGGTCGTATGAGCTGTCAGCAGAAGCTTTCACTTCTTCTGCTTTGACTTTTTGGGCTCATATCAATAAAGATTAGGAATGAATTGGTTCTATTTGAAAATTGTCACATGGCATTTAAAACGTTAAATTTCCCTCTGCCCCTAGTTCCCCCCAAAAAAAGCACATGCACCCCAAAATCCAGGTTGCTCTGTATTACAAAATCTCCATGGGTGCTGCTTTGGACCTATCCCCTGCTACCTAATATGCATTAATAGTGGCCCATCACATAATGGACATACTTGCTAATTGATATTAACATGCATAAAGCAGAGGGGTGGGATGGTGAGGATCAAAGCACAGGGGGTTGTCATTTCAAGAGAACATGCCAGTTTAATCAGAATCAGCACAGTGGCAGAGTCTCTTTAAAAGCTTTAAGAAAAAGAACTCTAGAATACTGCTCTTTAGGAAGATCTAAATATGGTAGCTGTTATTGTTGACTTGTTTTTAAATGTACAGGCTCCAGGATTACATAGGTACAGGTTTTAAGTCCATCTCTTTCAGGCAATAGAAAAAAATAAATAAATAGAAGACTTCTGTATACAAGATATTATATCCAAAGTTGATCCAGAGGAAGGCAAAAAACCCCAATAAAGCATAATCCAATAATCCAATTTGCTCCAGTGGTAGAAAAAAATTCTTCCTGATTCCCCAGGAGATATTCCCTGGATTAACAATCCCTGGTGTTATAAACTATAAATGTTAATATCCAGTAATATTTGTGCATTTAGGAATGCATCCAGCTTCTTTTTAAAACAATCTACTGAGCTGGCCAGAACTAGTTGTTGAATGAGCCCTACCTTGAAAGTAGTCATTACATCCTATCTTCACATCCTAGTGTGGCATTATTCTGGACCCAGTGAAGTATGAAGTGTCTTATTGCCTGTCTGTACTTGTTCCAAGTTAGTAACTCTCTAGAGTACTAAAACAAGGTTCAAGATGAAAAGAGTGGAGCATGCACCAAGTGAGCAATGGCAGCGCTCATATTTCTCTGCTGACTGATGTCCTTTAAAGGCCATTAAACAAAATAAAAAAGGTAGGATAATAGAAGTCACCAAAGACCCATAACTGCTGTCTGTATATTGTATTATAGCATGAGAATAGTCTTGTGTGTACAGCTCCACAGCCACCAATTAGAATGAATTAGATTGCATCTTACAGGGTGGGCAGGAATCTGACTGGTGTTTGAAGGCAATACAGAATGTCCCGTGAGGGATTCAGTATTGTTTTCCATCAGGAAGTTTTTTTGTCAATAAGGAAATCCTTCCTGCTCTTCAAAGAATTATTAGACATTAGGTAACATTTTAGCAAGCTGATTAATAACAGAGTTAATGTAAGGAAAAGCAAGAGCCAACAGAGAAGGGAAACATTGGTTAAACACATATTGATTTTACATTTACACTGTTACAGTTAGTTCAGTGCAGCCTAGCTATTCAAAACACAATACAAATGCCCAGGCATTGCACTGCTGTGTTTTTTCTTCAATTTATTGACACTACTGAATGGTTACTTTTATGTTATCTCTTCATGACTCCTTTACTGACGCATTTTGCCCTCAATTAGGGTTTAATTATAGGGATCATGATCATCCTATAATTAAGCCCTTATTAATGGTGAAATGCGTCACATTGGGTCCCACAAGGGTCCTAGCCTCTGTGGCCAGTGGGTGCATCAAAGTACAACTCAGAAATGATGGAACATGATATTCAAAGAGAAGACTCTCACAGCCACAAGCATGACTCCCAGAGGAAGAAGAAAGATGGGACTTGTAGTTCTGCAACAGTTTAAAGGTCAAAGTTTACCTGCCACTGTTGCAGATCTTTCTTGGAGCCCTAATATGCTTCCATCACAGTGATGTGCCAATAGAAAGAAGAATGAGGAAGGAACGAGACAAGTCAGGGCTAGTAACTGATCACTATTTACATTATAGAGTGTGCAGGGCCTTCTAGGAAAAAGTGGGGCCAAAGATCAGGCACAAGGTGGTGCCTGCAATGCAATCTACATGGTAGCTTACTATGTACATTATGACTACAGGTACAGGTACTTTTTAAGGAACACGCCACTCAAAAATAAAAGTTAAGCCCTGAAATGCCCACAAGTCATGCAGCTTACCAGTCCATGATAATGCCTTTTATAATAGTTACATAGTTAGGTTGAAATAAGACAAAAGTCCATCTAGGTCAACCAATAGAAAAAATGAATTGTATAAATAAATAGAAAACCCTCATATACCCAATCCTATACCCAGAGTTGATCCAGAGGAAGGCAAAAAAAAACCCAAAGCACAATTCCACTTGCTCCAGTGAGGGAAAAAATAATTCCAAATTCCTCATAATGGTCTTGCTAACATGCAACATAAAACCAACAATTTCTTTGCCACCAATAATGGGGTGTTCTGACAACGCCATCCTGTTCAGCATTAGCATGTGACTTTGGATATTCCTGCTCAGACGCACCATCCCTAACACCTAATCCTGGAGGACATATCATAGTCAAGCAGGTGTCATCATCCACATTTCATAACCTGCATGCAAAATTTATATGTAGATAGTGGAGACCTATGGTGGCTTAGAGGGAAGGGGAAGTGAAAGGGGACAGAGGGGCTGAAAAAGAGTTATAATAGGAATAGTGGTAAAAAGTAAAAAGAGGAAAGAACTAATGCCCCCCAAGGGCCTAAAACAAAAGGCAAAATAAATATTTATAGGCAACTGAGCCTAGATAGATTCAACATTTCATTTCTAAGGTACCTTCAAATAGCCCCAGAGAACCATTCTGAAGGTGTTACAATCGGGTTTAATAACCTTGTCCAGTTTCTAATTTTCTTGCAAAGATAAACAAGCCCTTGAGCTGTCAGCCCTCAACTCCCTCCTCTTTTTCCCCTCCGTTGATAGAAGTTTAGCTTGAGTGTGGCTAAACTAAAACTACAAGCTATGAAGTGAGCTTTGCAAGAAGGTAGTTGGATTGGACCTGTTCACATGACCTCCTTTGGAACCCATACAGTACATAGAAAGATAAGTATTGAGTTCTGTAACACTGGTACCTTTTCGGAAGGTGTAATCAGATACACTGCTTCCAGGCTGGGGAGTGGTTCCCTCCGCTTGTTAATGTCCTCAACAACTGCAACGAGAAAGCAATTAGTCACAAGGGCTGCTAGCCACATACCTGTCTTATTAGCACTTTACAATGGCAGAGTCTGTAGACTTTTGGCTTTCTTCATATATATTACAAGTGAAAGTGATCCACCTAAAGTACAGTAAATGTATGAGCAAAATATATATATATATATATATATATATATATATATATATACACACACATACACACACAGAAGTGAGTACACCCCTCACATTTTTGGAAATATTTTATTCTATCTTTTCATGAGACAACACTAAAGAAATTACACTTTTCTACAATGTAAAATGGTGAGTGTACAGCTTGTATAACATGTAAATTTACTGTCCCCTCAAAATAACTCAACACACAGCCATTAATGTCTAAACCGCTGGCAACAAAAGTGAGTCCACCCCTAAGTGAAAATGTCAAAATTGGACCTAAAGTGTCAATATTTTGTGTGGCCACCATTATTTTCCAGCACTGCCTTAACCCTCTTGGGCATGGAGTTCACCAGAGCTTCACAAGTTGCCACTGGAGTCCTCTTCCACTCCTCCATGATGACCTCACGTAGCTGGTGGATGTTATAGACCTCGTAATCCTGCACCTTCTGTTTGAGGATGCCCCACAGATGCTCAATAGGGTTTAGGTCTATAGACATGCTTGGCCAGTCCATCACCTTTACCCTCAGTTTCTTTATCAAGGCAGTGGTCGTCTTGGAGGTGTGTTTGGGGTCGTTATCATGTTGGAATACTGCCCTGCGGCCAAGTCTTTGAGAGGAAGGGATCATGCTCTGCTTCAGTATGTCACAGTACATGTTGGCATTCATGGTTCCCTCAATAAACTGTAGCTCCCCAGTGCCGGCAGCACTCATGCAGCCCCAAACCATGACACTCCCACAACCATGCTTGACTGTAGGCAAGACACACTTGTCTTTGTATTCCTCACCTGGTTGCCGCCACACACGCTTGACACCATCTGAACCAAATATGTTCATCCTGGTTTCATCAGACCACAGGACATGGTTCCAGTAATCCATGTCCTTAGTTTGCTTGTCTTCAGCAGGCTGTTTGCAGCCTGTTTGCAGGCTTTCTTGTGCATCATTTTTAGAAGAGGCTTCCTTCTGGGAAGACAGCCATGCAGACCAATTTGATGCAGAGTGCGACATATGGTCTGAGCACTGACAGGCTGACCCCCCACCCATTCAACCTCTTCAACAATGCTGGCAGCACTCATACATTTATTTCGACCATGGCGAGGCCTGTTCTGAGTGGAACCTGTCCTGTTAAACCGCTGTATGGTCTTGGCCACCGTGCTGCAGCTCAGTTTCAGGGTCTTGGCAATCTTCTTATAGCCTAGGCCATCTTTATGTAGAGCAATAATTCTTTTTTTCAGATCCTCAGAGAGTTCTTTGCCATGAGGTGCCATGTTGAACTTCCAGTGACCAGTATGAGGGATTGAGAGTGATAAACCAAAAACTTAACACACCTGTTCCCCATTCACACCTGAGACCTTGTAACACTAACAAGTCACATGACACCGGGGAGGGGAAAATGGCTAATTGGGCCCAATTTGGACAGTGTCACTTAGGGGTGTACTCACTTTTGTTGCCAGCGGTTTAGACATTAATGGCTGTGTGTTGAGATATTTTGAGGGGACAGCAAATTTACACTGTTATACAAGCCGTGCACTCACTACTTTGTATAAACAGTATCTCACAGAAGTGAGTACACCCCTCACATTTTTGTAACTACTTTATATATAATACTTTATATACATATACTTTAATATATATATAAATATATATATACACACTATACATAACAAAAATTAAAAATGCTGCAAGTATAGCAAAAAAACACTGTTGGTTGGCTAGATATCTAGTGTGCTCCTAAAAAACTGTTTGGGCTGACAATATATTAGCTCTGCTGTGCTGAAATCCTAAGCAGTGTTGTCAACCTGTCCAAACAGATTTCTTTAATTTAACTACCCCTTTCTTCATCTCCATACCATGCGAGGATGTGTTCTGTAGTCCAGCTAGGGAGAATTGGGCAAGGCCGACAACAAAGCTTTCAATTTCAGTACAACAGAAACATTGGGGCTGATTTACTAAAGGCAAAAAGACTGTGCATGCTGCAAGTGCAGTTGCTCCAGAGATTAGTAAATGAGGTGAAGCTTCACTTTGCAAAGAATACCCAATCACATGTGAGGAAAATAAAAAAACAGTATTTTGATTGCACATGATTGGATGATGAAAATCAGCAGAGCTTCCCCTCATTTACTAAGCTCAAAGGGCACAGTCTATTTGCCTTTAGTAAATTCACCACCTCAGTGTGCAGTCAGTACAGGCTGACCTGACTGCTCACACCGTGCAGAAACACACCCAGATGCACTAGGCATAGTTAACTTTTTGAAAAAAAAACCTGCATTAAAGAAGGAAAATGCACATTGATGAATTTTGTGCATCGATGCCTGCAAAGCATTGCAATCGTGATCAATACATAGTGAGTACAATGCACAAGCTTCTGCAGATTGTTGCTCCAGGCCTAGGTGTGTACGAAGGTACGGACTTTCGGTTATGGCTTTGGTGGCAGTAAACAATGGACAAGTACGATGAATTCACTGCCACCATTGAACTCTATAAATCTCTCTACTGCAGTGGTGGATGGGATGTGTAGTCTTACCATTCAAAGATCCTGTGAATTGCTCTGTGAATGAATTACTTGGCTGTATGGGTGAAGCCACACACAGTTGCAATAAATCCAAATGAAAACTGGGTGCTCTAGGTAGAAGAACCCTACAGGGGAGAGGAGTGAGGGTGCAGGGAAGGGAAATGTGACCATGTTTAAGGTTATGCCACAATTATCGGTGCAACATGAAAAACATGGTGAGAAAGGTGGATTATTCCTGTAAGGGTGGTCCAATGGCAATGGCCAGTCTCCAAGAATTTACCACTGGAGAGGTGAAAGGTAAGAGGTCAGTAAGTAAGAGGTGGCAAAAAAATTATGTCTTTAGCCTTTCCTATATTATGTATATATATATATATATATATATATATATATATATATATATATATATATATATGAAATTCTGTGTAATAGTGAATTCTTTATTGTTGGAGTATTAGAACTCCCAATGCCACCTATTTGTATATAAAGCATTTCCTTTCCTATTCCTTACTTGTTATCCCTTCAGTCATTATATCCGTCATCTTGCAGCATGATGATAACATGCGTGTGCTCAGCTGGTCCACTACCAGAACCTGCAAAAAACACAGAAAAGCAAAAGGTATGAGATGGTATGGAAAGCAATATAAAAAAGGAAGAGACAGGCAGAAATTTGGATTGGGACCCTGATGTACTAATGTAAACAGTGAACAATATTTTACGGCAGCTAATCTGGATCATTAGAGTCAGTGACCTGGAACAAGCAGGTAGGCCATGAGTTCTGACTTCATTCTGAGTTTTAATATTCATGCTTGTTCAAGGTCACTGACTTAGAAGATATTAAAACCAGAGACAGCCATATAACTAGTATTCTCAGAAGAGGTCAGCAACGGCAGGCTCCTCATTTCCCTCAGCATAAGTGTCCGTTGTCCTAAAAGGCTACTTAGAGTGCAATTTTACCCAAATTTACAATTAAAATTTTGTATTGTTATTGGAATGTTGACACCATGGTGGAACATTCCCATAAGAAGTGCCATCAACACAAGGTATGATGATATCACACCTCCTTCCCTATGTCTTGTTTATTTGTCATTTAAAAATAATAAACAGAAAAAAGAAAATCAACAATATAAATTGATAAATTTAGTTGTCATGATCATATGGGCTCAAGTAATGGTATTCGGATTTTGAAAATTGAGGATTAGGAAAGTTTGTGAGAATAATTCACATAACATGTGGAACAACTCACACTGATATGTCAAAGTAGCTATGTGCAGTAATGTTGGTAGATGGGAGTGGATTGAAGTGCTGGGAAGATGGATACTGGTAAAGGGGTCATTGTTGTATAGTATGGCGTGGTTTCCAGAGAGAAGATGTATTGGAGGAGTTAAACAAAGGGAAGTGAGGAAATTGACAGTGGCACAGAATACACTGATCAGCAGCTGCAGTAAACCCATAACCCATTTGTTAAGGCGAAGCTTAAAGCATGGGTGAACTTGACATTATCGTTACTAGGCCTTATAAATCTTATCAAAATGAAGATACTACCCAAATGTACCTATTTATTTAGAAATTCCCCCCAGTGGATACTAAAACATTTTTTTGTCCAAGTGAATCAGCTATTTTCCTTTTTCCTGTGGGGACCCCACATGCCCCATTATAAATTGTCTACCTTAATGAGACCTTCCTCCCTGGGACACTTGGCCTTACCGGCCTGTTTTAAATACTATCTGGCTTTGCAATTAGTTACTGCTCATTGGTGGCTGTGCCCAGACACCTCCAACACTGCCACAGTTCTGGAGGCAGCTGTGCTGTCCTCTCTAAAGGCTCTCCGATCTCTTCCTTTACGTGGAGCTAAGACCCCCTACTCTCTCACACTGTCCATGCTCATCACCCTTAAGGCTTGAAGAGTGGGATTAAGCTTTGAACCCCATACCCTGTAACAGTTCTCCCCAAAACACACTGTTATGGCTGAATCCCACACTGCCGCATCTGTAAATCCTCCCAGACCCTTAAGCTTGTGTGATGGGCGCGGCGTCAGACCCCCAGCCCTTCTCACCAACTTGTGACCGAAGGACTAGCCAATCTAAAACCGCGCTGTCACATGTGTAACAATGCCACGCTCAGCTTCACCCTGCACAATGATTTTCCAGCTAATGGACCATAATCTATGTGCCACAGCCTGAAAGCGATTGTTACTGGGTCAGGTTAATTACGCAATTAACCCTTCACACTGCCACCACTGCCTTTTTGTACAGAGAAGGAGGAAACTCACCAATCTTAGCAGTAACACTATGATGTTTGAATAAGCGTCTGTATACACACTGTCACCGCAGGCAGATGTATGCCGAAGTTTAAAACACAGAGTAGCGCTCTTCAGAGACAGGGATTCTTAGTTTGCATTAAAGAGCTTTAGAAACAGTTCAAAACTTTTCAGAAAATAGGATTTATTACTAAAAAGGTCAAACTGGTGCAATAAAAATATTTACAGAAAAAGATGTAGCCTATATATATATATATATATAAATACAGAGAGCAATAACACAGCAGAGAGATAACAGAAAGAAGTTTAGAGAGGTAGAATACTTGCCAGAGTACTTGGTTTAAGCAGATTCAAGTGTCCTGAGCAAAAGGGTACCGTTTCTCCCAAAGTTGGTTCCTGATGTTAAAAAGGGAGGATCTCTTCATCTTACGTCTCTCAGCCCTGACAGCCTCTTTTCTGGTCCACCAGCAGGGGGTGTCTACTGAAGCCAAGGGCAAATCGCCTCATTTGGGGAGGGGGCTTTAGGCGGAGACCCAGGCTAGGACCAAATCCCTTGTAAGTTATACCCTGGTCAATAATATGACATATTTGCTTGGGATGGTTAAGGAGATATCGCTTTCTGCTCTCGGGTAGACGTAATCTAGGGGTGTAAGGTATCAGGTGACTCGCATTAAACGGACCTGTCTGAATATATGCTCTGTTTTATTGTACATATTTCCTGCCAAAAGATATGAAACTGTATGAAAAAGTGGTTTCACATGGGATGCAGGTTTTACTGGTGTTCCGGAATGCTTTCAAGTCAAGTGACTGACGGGTTTATAGCTTTACGATCAGCTCAGAGCAAGAGTCTGCCAGACACACTGGAATCAAATAATTGGGTTTACAACCATGAAGTGTATCCAGCTGTGCCCGATGAACTCCTGAACTCAGCCACACCAGACCACATGCCATTCAACAGGAAGGGGGGGGGGACTGATTTGGAGTGAGAATGACACAAGATGGAGGATCTTTGCAATATGGATGTCCACGTCCATATTTGTACGTACAAATGCTACAGCTTGGACTAAATACAAAATTAAAATGCCCTCTCATTTGATCTACCAAGGAAAACTGCTTTCATTTCCCATTATTCGCCTGAAATATAATGTCCCGCCACGCATTTGTTCCAAAACTTGAAGTTATCTCATGATTTTGGTAGCCAATTCTCCCCTGTGATCCTAACTAAGTCAGACCTTGAGGAAGTTTTAAGATAGGAGTGTTCTGTCAAACCTATGTCTGTTCTTTATAATCACCTATCTATGGTTAATCACCTATCTATGGTCAATATTACAAACGTGACTTCCCTCTGGAATAGATGGCTAGCAGACATCCCAAACCTTGATGGAGATGATTGGTCGGATATTTGAAACCTTCCCGTTAAACAATTTGTCTCACTGAGGGACAAACGTGTTTAGTTCCCTCCTAGATTGTAAGCTCGAAAGAGCAGGGCCCTCGAACCCCTCGTGTATTGTATTGTTACTGTTTTGTCTCATGTTCTGTCCCCCTTGCTATTGTACAGCCCTTTGGCGCTATATAAATACTGTATAATAATAATAATAGTTCTCTTGCTTTTTATTGTATTGTAATTGTAGTGTATCCCTTTATGTATCCAGCGCTGTGCAAATTGTTGGTGCTATATAACTTCTATGTAATAATAATAATTTAGTTCAAAATTGTGCATATAGCCTATTTTACCCCATATAGGGTGCATAAAATGGACCCGAGCTATCCTCCAAATTTCTGGAGATTTTCCCACTCAACAAGGGATTTTACCCACATCTTTTTACCCTGCTCTGCCATTGTTTACTATTGGGAGTCTGTAGTTTGTATTTTTACCTCGGTTTCCGGCACTACATTTCCGGCACTACTCTATGCATATATGTTTGCTGGGCCTAGTTAAGGAGTTAGTTCCTACAATAGTGGAAAGGACTCTGCTGGGGCTTCTTCTCTTCTATGCCAGTTACGTTTAAAGCTAATCAAATGTGAACTTCTCATCTGTAAAATGAAATGTAATAATAATATAGGGTACAGTACCTTCCACTCTCCTTTCTTCTTAACCTTCCTGATCACATCATGCATGATCTCTGTAACAGAAAGTAGCATATTAAATATGAAAATATGAAAAATATGCAACTCACAAATCAAGTTTATTTATATAATATGCCTATAGGAAACAAAATAAAAAGAAGCCAGAAGCAAAACTTATAGGGCTGTGGTACAAAATCTGAAAAGGGGACAAAAATAGCTAGCAAGTGATGATGGCACCCTGAACAACTTTGTTTATTGCAAATTTAATCCAACACTGGAAGAGTGAAGAACTACACTTACCTGGACAATATGTGCATGGTCATGGCAAATAGCACCTATGTAGCTTTTGATTAATGTACCCATGTAACATTTCAGTGATTTTGCTAACTTTTGTTTCAAATACGTTTTTATCAAACGTTGTCAAAATTACCAATAAAGATGTACAGGGTATAGACAGTAATTCACATAACTAAGCTAAAGGGCCACCTGTGAGCCCATGGCTACCCTGTACATATTCAATATTGTAGGAGTTTTGTTAACAATTTTCAAAGCAGCATGGAGTCCATGAAGAGGATACATGGTTGGGACGATGAAGGCGATGGATAGATGTACGTTTTTAGGAGCTAACTGAATCAAAGGAGTATAAAGTTGACAAAGTCTACTTTGCTATTTGAATGCTGAGGTGAGGTTGTGTCTTGAGGGCCAACACGATGTGTGTAAAGGTAGAAATGGGGGTACACAGGTCTGAGGAATCCCCTCCTTGGGCAGTACTCGGGCACCAAGCACTGCACTGTGGGAAGGCAGGGGATAGGGTCATGGAGCACCAGTAGATGAAAAAAAAGCAATGGGGACACAAGTGGAAGATAAGTATGTATGTGCTGCTAACCCTTCTTCTCTAAAGCGGACTTCTGGACCGAATGGGCAAAGTATAGGGCTGCGTTAAGCCAACAACAGTAGCACTCATAAGTAGACAGAATGGGTAGAGTCTATCCTAAAGAGAACGATTGTTCATTTGTGGTCACGACAGCACCACCTTTGCAACTGCGCTGCAAAGGTGTGAAAACATGAGTTTAGAAATGATGGGCTTACAAGGAAACCTAGCATCTTCAGAAGGTGGTCAGCAACAGCTATCATGACAGGTCATCCTTTCTAACTCACATTTGCATCCATTTCCAACATAACTGGGTTAAAATAAGGGTTGGCACTTTCCTAACCACAAAAGAACAATATTTTCTAGAAGAAAGTCTAATTTTGTCCGCTCGATATTGAAACTTCTGTTGGATTGCATAATCTGCCTATCCAGACCCTGCAAAGAATGACAAGACTTCTGCATGCTATTTTATGACTTCTGACATCACCCATCAGCCCTTCTCACCCAGCTGCTTCCTCGAACTACGTAATTGGTTGCTTAATTTAGCTAATTTAATTGTAATTTAAACTTCATTAATGTAAAAATAATTTAATTTTACAATCAGTTGCTTAATTTAGTGTCTGGCCATCACCAGATACATTAAATAAAAACATAGGAACACTAATGAGTTCTGAACAGCACTACAACATGTTAATCTTCGGATTCATTGGAGATATGCTAATATATGCCCCCATTCCTTCACTCTGGGCTCCCTATGTCTCAGAACCTCTACCCTACAATTTAAAAACAGCTGGGATTACTGCAGCAATGTCGTATCTAGTAATTATCAGAACACTTTTAAATTCATATGTACCAGCTAAGACCATGAAGATCTGTTTGCCGTTTAACAGCGACGTGAATATACAGTTGTGCACAAAAGTTTGCATACCCTGGCAGAAATGATTAAATTTTGGCATTTATATTGAAAATATGACTGATCTGCCAAAAATTTGTCTTTTCTTTAACCCCCCTTCACGCCTCCCGGCGTCTGGGCCTAGACGCCAAGCAGCCGCACATTTGCCTTCATGTAACAAAAAACATATGTGCTGAGATCGCGCGCCCTGCGCGCTCCCAGCACACATGTGAGGTACTCACGGAAAGGTCCGGTCCGCTCTTTCGATCGGGACCTTTTCCGATCATGTGACCGGCCGCGACGTCACGGCGGCCACATGACACTAAGCCCCATCCCTCCCACCTCCCGGCGCAGGAACTCCTCTTCACGCCAGGACGATCCGGCGTGAAGGGGTTAAGAATAGTGATCACATGAAGCAATTTCTTATCACACAGTTGATTGGCTCCTTTTTAAATCAATATGATAACTGAAATCACCCAAACGGCCCTGATCAAAAGTTTACATGAAATGTTTGGCCTTGGTACAGATACACAAAGTGACACACACAGATTAAAATGGCAATTAAAGGTTAGTTTAACATATCTGTGGCTTTTTAAATTGCAATTAGTGACTGTGTATATATAGTCAGTGAGTTTGTTAGCTCTCACAAGGAAGCACTGAGCAGGCTAGATACTGAGCCACGGGGGGAGCAGATATGAACTGTCAAAAGACCTGTGTAACAAGGTAATGGAACTTTATAAAGATGGAAAAGGCTATAAAAAGATTTCCAAAGCCTTGAATATGCCAGGCAGTATTGTTCAATCACTTATTAAGAAGTGGAAAGTTCAGGGATCTCTTGATACCAAGCCAAGGTCAGGTAGACCAATGAAGATTGCAGTCACAACTGCCAGAAGAATTGTTCAGGATACAAAGAAAAACCCACAGCTAACCTCAAGAGAAATACAGGCTACTCTGGAAAAAAACAATGTGTTTTTTTAAGGCGCACAATATGATGGTACATGAACAAAAATGAGCTGCATGGTGCCAGAAAGAAGCCTTTACTGCGCCAATGCCAAAAAAAAGCCCAGTTATAATATGCCCAACAACACCTTGACAGGTGTCACTGGCCTTTTTGGTGGCATTGATACAGTAAAGGCTTCTTCCTGGCAACTCGACCATGCAGCTCATTTTTGTTCAAGTATCGTCGTATTGTGCTCCTTGCAACAACCACACTGTCTTTTTCCAAAGCAACCTATATTTCTCCTGAGGTTACTTGTGCGTTTTTCTTTATATTTTGAACAATTCTTCTGGCAATTGTGGCTGCAATCTTTTTTGGTCTACCTGACCTTGGCTTTGTATCAAGAGATCCCTGAACTTTGCAATTCTTAATGGCTTAGTATCTAGCCTGCCCAGTACAGATGTGGGAAATTAACCTTTAATTGCCATTTTAACCCATGTGTGTCTGTACCAAGGCCAAACATTCCAGGGTATGAAAACTTTTGAACAGGGCCATTTGGGTGATTTCTGTTATCATGATTTAAAAAGGAGCCAAACAACTATGTGACAATAAACAGCTTCATATGATCACTATCTTTGAATAAAAGTTTTTTGACACGATCAGTCATATTTTCAATATAAATGGCAAAATTTCACAATTTCTGCCAGGGTATGGAAACTTTTAAGCACAACTGTATACTGTATATATAACATATATAATACCGAATTTGCTAAATAAATGCCTAGTAGAAGTGCCCAAGTATCATGAACACTTGACCCATACCATTTTCCCCAACAGCAGCTGCATAGACTTCTCTTACACTGTTTGGTAGGGGGCTTTGTGATCCATAGCCTATTGTAATCTGGAGATAAGAATTGTACCTTTAGGGTATATGCCATACATACACACTGCTGTACATATACACTGTTCATAGAACATTAGCAGGCATGTCTGTTTACTTACTAGGGGAAGGAAAGAGAATTTCAATGTCTCACAGCTATGACAGACTTACACAAGACACATTACTATCTCATAGACTACAAGATTGATGAGTTCAAATACATGTTATTTCAGAAATACTTTTATCTTCATGGTTAGCCCTACAAATAGCTTCATTACATTAATTCACTAAAATAAAGTATAAAGGGACATGCTTGTTTTTTTGTAGCACTTTTCTAGATAGACTGCTAGCTAGATAGGCTAAATAAATTTAGTTTTTTGTTTGTTTGTTTTTTGACTTCCTTTTCTTTTAGCAGAGCAGTTTGTGATTGCTTTGGATTGTTCTAGGCATCATTGGCAGCAGGTTCAACTGCTTCCTCCACCTTCTAGAGCATTCTAGAATGTAGTGAGCTGGAAGAGGCAGACTCACAGCCTCAATATTTATGTGGTCTCAGCCAATCCCGGTGGAGGATGACCAGTAGGTGGCTGGGGAACGAGGCATAAATAGTCTGGGGCCTGAGGCAGCCCTGTTCTTGTCCAGGAGGAGAAATTCCAGCCTGAAGGGCCACTGCCTTTCTGGGCAGTCAAGCTGTGGTTCTACATGTGCTCATCAAGGTCCCAGCTATGCTAGAGCTGGAGGGGGGATGTTCTGCTGAAATTTGTTGGAACTGATTGGGCAATTTCATTGAGGATCTGGTCTGGGAGCTCATAGGAGAAATGTCTGGCTGAGATTGGAAGGAGGCATCCACGTACCCAGGGACACTAAGATCCTAGTGACTGTGTGCTGCTACTATCCCTTGTGCATCAGTGCCAGAGCTTTCTTGAACTGGGACATTTCCTATGGTGCCCCAGTGTTGCTCGATCCCTTAGCTGCTGCTAGATGGACCGTACTAAGAGGCTTTGATAAAGTTAGGAGTGTCCTAGTGTTACTACACTGGGGTATCCCACAGCTTCCCTGCACCCCATCCAAGTTCATCCTTCAATAAAGCATCAAAAAAGATACCCTTAGATCAGTGGTTGTCAACAATATTGGTAAATGCTTCCAAAACTTTCCATGCCCCAACAGTACAAAAAGGTATAACACCATAAACGTACTGTATGGGAATACAAAATATGTATTGATATGATGGGAGACTCTGAATGGGGCTGGGTATCACTATGGAGGAAAAAGGGGTTCTAAAGGGGGTTTTGGTCCTCTGCAGCAGATTTGTTGGCTCTGGGATCAAGGGTAACTGTGGGGGATGAGGTCTCTGGAGAGAGCTGTGGGCCATCTTGTGCCTCACTCCTTGCTGTAGGCCCCCTCATGACATTCCCGGCCATAGATCTTCACTGTATTCTATTGGTGTTGTTCAGGGAATGGAAAGACAGTCACATTAGT